GTCCTTCGATCTGCCGTATTGGTCGAGTTTGCTGGTTGAACCATTTTCGCTCGTGTGTTGGTTTAAAAGAATTGGGATGACTTAGATTGTCGTCCCCACAGACGGCGTCAAATGTTTATGCAAGGATATGCACAACAGTGTATTTCAGATTGCAGCTCGAACTCGGCCTCCGGACCGATCTGAATACTTGGGCGAACCTGCACAAAAAGGTGAGCACTCCGACGATCAAGTTAGTATAGGTCAGATTCCTAGTTTAGTTCGAGGTCAGAAATCATCGTACCTGATCGTGGAGGGTACAACTCAAACTTTTGAAACAATATATATATATTTTTAAGGAACTTGAAACAATATTTTTAAAACTAACCTCATTTTAGCCAAAAATATTATTAACAAAACAAAAAAAAAATTGGTTTAGTCCAAGAGGGCCGATTTTTGTTAACATACATCACATATCCTTCATCAGCAAACGCGTAGGGGATAATGCCAAATAAAATATCATAATGCATTTTGCCAAAATAAAAAAATAAATTGTTTTATCCTTACGTTTTTAGTATATTATATGGCTGACCTTGACCCACAAACATCAACATAATAGTTAGTATATATCACAAAGTAATTTTTTCGATATGTAATTTTGATTTAATAATATTTGGGGAGGGGTACGAAGATCATTAGAAGTTTTGTTAAGCATAGTTGGATTTAAAAGTGTCACCTTTTAAAAGGAGAAAACTTGGTTCCTGAAGATTGAGCAAGCTCCTCCTCCTGAATACCTGTGTGGTCCAGTGACATATAGATAAATGTTTTTCATTTTGGCCGTCTACTTTTTGGATCACAATTTCAACAAAACACTACGATCAATAAATTTTTTATAATATAGTTAGAGCGTTAGTATTAAAAGGTCTCATTGTATATGAATTTGAGTTAAATTTTGTTTGAACAATGACTAAAATTATCTTCAAAACTAGAGAGACTAAAACGAAGGTTTGAAAGAAAGGTATTTGAGTGTTGGCATGAGAAAGAAAAAGCAATAATTGATGGTTGAAATAATTATAGTTTGATAATACATTGATAAGTAAAAGGTAGAGAAAAGAATTTGTGTAGAAAAGTTGGAAGAAAATGGTGGGGAATTTTGTGTTAATATTAGGGAGTGAGTTAGAATTTAGAATTTAAAAAGAAAAAGCAATAATAGAATAGAAATGAAAGAGAAGCCGACAGTAGAGGCGCGTTAGTACTTGGCACTATTGGCATTACCATATGGACTGTTGGGTTGGCCTCCCTCTCGCAACCTTTTCCATTCATTCATTGTAGTAGTAGAATGGGCTGGGCTGGGGCCTAAATATATTATATTATTTTATATTTTATTTTTAGTAGCTCTGTCTGATAAACAATCATCTATTTATGGTGAATTATGATTGGTGCAAGAATTGGAGGGGTTAGATTCAAGAAGTGGGAAAGAACCTGCCTAGAGAAATAAAAGAGCCTAATGCTCTAGTATGTAGAATTCGAGATATGATCTTAATACGCGGAATTAGATTCACGTACCACTTGAAGTCTGTTTTTGTATTTTTAGACATTGACGAGTAGGGATCCACTCAACGGTCACGACTCTGAGGTTTCAAGGGTAAGATCTACAGTAGTGGGTGAGTATTTGAGAGAGATTTTATTTGATACCTTGACTTGACCTTTATTATGATTGGAGTCTAAGTGAGGTTGGATTTGAGATACGACATAATTATTTATTGTTTATTCTTTTTTGACAAGTGAATGAACTACGTTTAGTAACTGTTTTTTCTTTCTTACCCTTTACTTTCAAGAAATAAGACAGTAATATGTTTCGCAAATGAGTCTCTTCGATTTTTTTTTATTATTATTATTATTATTTTTTTTTTTTGTAGATTACAATTAGTTTAAGAAGTTTGCTTGATGCTTGTACAGTGATGCTATGGATTCGATTTTTGTCTTTTCTTTTCTAATGTTGTGTAGTTGCTGGGGTGTTCCAAACTCATCAATTCGGTTTGGTTCTCCAAAATAATTTAATGAGAAAACAAAATCAAACTACTATATATACACAAAAACAAACAAGGCGATTTTGATTTAATTTAAATTTGATCAATATAATCTTAAAAGTTAAAATTTTCATTTTAATTATTATAATTACAGTTTAGCTTCCAGGCATAAAATTTTAGTTTGGTTCCATTTTAGTTTATATAATTACTGAAATTTCACAAATTATTCTTACACCTCTTTGATTCAGTCCTCAATTTCTTCTATTTTCAACTCAGTCATATATCTTAATATATTCAACTAATACATTTAGTTAAGCAGGGAACATAACTCATTGCTATATAAATAAAAAATTTATCATGTTGAACATTTTTTTTTAGTAATTTTGACATTAATAAGGATAATTTATGATATTTGGCTAAATATTAAATAATATAGATCAAATTACTTTTTTATAAATAGATCGAATTGAAACTTAGTCCAAACCATAAAGTAAAAATCAAATTAAAACTTGGAGCAGTTGCAAAAATATATAAAAAAATAATAGGAATTTACAAAATAGTAATCACTCTTAAATTTTGAAAAAAAAAATATATATCTATATACATATTCAAAAAATATATATCTATATACGTAGATGTCTAATCAACGCAAAAGAAACAAAAGTTTAATATACCCTTCATGAACATGGAGCACAAACGAAAATATACTTTACTATATCACTCATTTGATACACCGTTGATATTTGAAAATAAATTTGGAAGGGTAAAATTGAAATACGAAAAATAAAAAAAAAATGATTTCAAATATTTTACCATATTCGTAAAAACACGAGAGCTATTGCTATATTTGAAATATGAAAAAATTTTTAGCTCCACGCAAAACTTTTGAAACCATGGGGTCATCAAAATTATGTTCAATTCACAAGTACAAATCTTATTCAGAAAAAAAAAAGAAAAAAAAGAAATCAGAAGTACAAATCCGTAATTTAACCCATACCTTAGAGCCCATCTCCTAGTTATCCGTCCAGCAGCCCATTCTACGCAGCCCAGCGGCCCATCTATCATCTACACAGCCCACGGCCCATCCAACGCTCACAAACCCTAGCCGCTAGCTCCCCTTCTTCTCTTTTCACGGCTGCTTCCTCTTCTTCCCTTTCTACGCCCGCTCCTCCTTCTCCCATTCTTGCTGCGCGCCTCTCCCCTCTCGCCTCTACTGCTGCTGTGTTCCGTTCTTTGTGAACTTCAACCATGGTACACTCTCGCTTGTTCATCCCTCTCTTCTCTTTCAAAGCGTCTAATTTATATTTGTTTCTGTTTTCTGGTTCCAAGAATCGTGGGGGGTGTTCACAAAACGAATTGGTTTCGATCCGAGAGTGGGATTTGGAACCCTTTCGTGTATTTTGAATTGTTGTAGCGAGTAGTCGAAAATTTTGGCCACGACATTTTCTTTTCCTTGTAATGTAATTTTTCTCGTTTTGCCGTTGGTTTGGTGTGGTTTTCGGTCTCTTATAATTTATTTAACTTTTATCATTCAGATTATTTCAGAGAAGAACCGTAGGGAGATCTCCAAGTATCTCTTTCAAGGTATAGCCGAACTCAGTTACTCTTAAATTGGATTTTTCCTGATTCAAGGATAATTTTGAAAGTTTATTTGTTTATTGTTGTTACCATTTCAGAGGGAGTCTGTTATGCCAAGAAGGACTACAATTTGGCCAAGCACCCAGAAATCGATGTGCCTAATTTGCAGGTTATAAAGTTGATGCAGAGCTTCAAGTCCAAGGAATATGTTCGCGAGACATTTGCTTGGATGCATTACTACTGGTACCTCACCAATGATGGCATTGAGTTCCTCCGGACTTACCTCAATCTTCCTTCTGAAATTGTCCCTGCAACCTTGAAAAAACAAGCCAAGCCAGCTGGTAGGCCCTTTGGCGGACCACCTGGCGATCGCCCACGGTAAATTACCTATTCGTCATGGTTCTTTGTGGATTCATCTGTGCTTTTGGAATGGTGGTTATGGATTTTGTCGTTACAGTCTTAGTATTATAATTGGATGTGTTATTTGTAATGTGATAGTGTAATACAAATGGCTTATTTGAGTAGCTGTTTGTGTAMTCTACATCTGCTTTTTTATTTAGTAGGTTATATTTATTCTTATTAGTATCATGATTGAGTTGTTGTGATTCTTATGAATTAGGGGTCCACCACGTTTTGAGGGCGAGCGGAGGTTTGGTGACCGGGATGGCTACCGTGGAGGTCCTCGTGGACCTGGTGGTGATTTTGGTGGTGACAAGGGTGGAGCACCTGCAGACTACAGGCCTTCTTTTGGGGTAATCTTTAGACCAAACAAACCATTTTATATCATCATAGCACATCCACATGGTTGATTCTCTCGACATTTTATAATGCTGCTTTTTCCTGCTTTTGTTTTACCAACCTTGGGATGGTTATTGGAGAAAGTTCTTAAAAGCAAATAACAATCAATAGTTCATGTATCTAGTTAGAATTTTTTATTAATCTAAAGCCGTTGCACCATGAGATGGTAAAATGGTTTTGTCATTCTTAAGTAATTCGTTTATGAGTTGATTGAATGGCATCTTATAGTTATAACTTAGCCTCTTTATCTGTTCATGTCATGCTTTCATTAAAAGTGCCCCTCAATCAATTTGTATTCTCTGTTAATCACTCAGATTATAATGTCAAGTAGTATTTTATTTTCTTGTGGAATTTGCATGTCATGGTTTCTGGTAACTTGAAATAAGTTGATTTTCTTGGGATCAAGTGAAACTGAGGATTACTGGTGGTTGACATTAGCTAAGTTGGTTTTAATGATCTTTAACAATAGAGAACAGGGTGAAACTGAAATGATAAAAATGTTCTTAGAATTGAATTTGTTGGTCCTTGTATGCCATTATAAGATCGATGCCTGAATGAATTTGGACTTTATGAAACTGAAATGATAAAAATGTCCTTAGAATTGAATTTGTTGATCCTTGTATGCCATTATAAGATCGATGCCTGAATGAATTTGGACTTTATGATATCTGTTTGGTAGTTCGACGCTTTTGTAGATTGTTGTCTCATACCAAAAAAACTTCTCAGGGTCCTGGTGGAAGGCCGGGCTTTGGCCGTGGGGCTGGTAGCTATGGTGGAGGAGCTGCAAGCCCAAACCTTCCTTGAAAAGTATGGTTGTACGAGCAGTTTGATGAATTTTCTGTGGAAAGAGTTAGCAGCTTGATTGAAGAGTTTGTTAGCCTTTTTTATTCTTCCTTCATTTAGCTTATGGGAATCTTATATATTTAAATTTTCATTGTGAAAATTGAAGTTTACTGGAACTACTTGGAGTATAAGTTTTGTTCTTCTCTATGAACGCCCAATTCTTATTTATTCCCGGTGAGCAAGAATGAAATTTTATTGTCTTAGGAATGAGAAAAAATGGTCTCAAGCTGATTCTTGAGCTAGATTTATTTTCTTTATTGATTACGATTTCAGTAAATTTAGATCTGTTGAAATTAACGAGACAACTTTTAAGCAATTACTTTGTTATTTATGCCATTAATTTTGTAATGCTTAATGTTATAGAATGATGGATCTTAGTTAATGTAATATGTTTAAATTGTGAGTCACGTTGGAGCTTATAATATGACACTTATTATACTTCTTTAGAAATTTCTAACCTTGAAAAAAAGAAAGGTGGATTAGAGTAATTTATAACTTTTTTTAACTTAATTTTAAGGAATTATAGGAGATTGAATTTTCGACTTTTAAAGAATGAAAAATATGTTAAATTGTCAAGTCAAAGTTGGTAAAAAAAATTACAATAAAATGCTAAAATGCTAAAATTACAATAAAAAATCCATGACCTCACCTGCAAATTTATTCTACATTTAAATGCTAAAATTATTAGCATAAATATGATATTTATGGAAATAGTTTTACAATTATCAATATTAGTTAGCAAACGATATGTGCTCACTTAGCACGGATCTTTTGCCGTTATTAAATTTCTAACCAATAAAGAAGAAATATTTTTGTTGGTGATCAATATAAAAATGGTGTTAAAAAAATTGAGGAATGAAATCAAATTGGTTCAAATTAACTAGTTTTTCTTTTCTTATTTTTTGAGGCATCAAATTAACTAGTTTAGGTTAATTATTTAAAACAATTGAATTATTTTTGTTTTTAAAAAATCAGCCAACCCAAGAAGAGCTTTTATTACATGTATCCTTCACAAAATGTTGGAGGTTGAAAATTTCGCCTCATAGGTTGAACTAAATAAAAGAAAAAATGGAATCTTTTTAATATAGTTCAATTAAAAAAATAGAAAACCGAACCATACCATACCTGAACCAGAATGAAAATGAGTTTTGCTCAATAATGAAAATTGATTCGGTTCTCCAATGTCGAATCCTCCGGGCCGAAAATTGGTCCATTCTCGTTCTATCTCCTGCATTGAATCCGCTAATACAGTGTATGGGCCGTCGCCGCATCCCATTTTAATCTTCATCACAGCTCCCATCATCTCCTGTCTCTCGCTCTCTCGTTCCCAATTCCAGCCTTCTTCTTCAACCCCATAGCTGCACAAACTGAACCCGATACAACGATCGGATTATTGAACATTTACTCCGTCGTCTTATCCACGGCGGTCGATTTTGTTTAACCGATGCAATTTTGAGGTATTCTAGTTGCTACCCCTTTTTTTTTTTTTTCTTTTCTGGGTACCTTCGATTGTGGCATGGATGAGATGCCCTTCAAATTTATTTTCTTGGGTGAATCTATTTTGATCTGTATCAGTTGTTATTTTGATTGTTAGGGTTGAATTTTGGAAAGGTTGAGAATTTGAAACTCTGGGGGATTAGATGGCGTTGCAAGATAAGCTAGACAGGTTCAAGAAACAGCAAGAACGGTGTCAGACTACCTTGACTGGCATTGCTGCATCCAAGTCTTCCTCCACACCCAAGTTTACGCCTGCACCAGCTGCTCCCAATGGAAGACCTCCGGCTCCTGCTGTAAAGTTCTCCAATGATACCGAGAGACTTCAACATATTAACAGCATTAGGAAATCTCCTGTTGGGGCTCAGATCAAGCGGGTTATTGACCTGCTGCTGGAGGTACACAACCCTCACCCATCTTGTTTCCCCTTTTCACAAGCTATGTTTTTTCCCCCTTCTTCAACTTTAGTTGTTTTCCTGGTTTCTTGTGTTTGAACGAATTCTTCAATGGAAGGCTATTGCAGGATAGGATGTAATGGACCACGATTTGATTCGAAATATGCTGAGCTTATGCTAACATTTCACATATTTCTTGTTCTTAAGCAGTCCAAGTTCTAACAATGTCAATATGTTTTCTTTTTCTTCTAAATGGATAAAATTTTCACTGGGGATTTGGTTGGCTTGAGAGAAAAAGAGGACTTCTTCAGGACTTGCGACTTGTGATCATTTGATGGAAAGAGTAGATTAGATTCTCTTCACTGTTTTTGCTCAATCGTTTTTCCTCAATGTGAAGAAATTTGTCTCTACTTGCAAATTACATTTCTTAATTCCCTCACCCCTCTCTCTCTGAGTTTTGAATTGACTGTGAAAAAGCTTAAAAAGTCTTTCTGAAATGCATTTTCTCTTCTATTGTTATTGAATTGGAACCTTGGGGGGAGGGGGTATGTTACAATCTCACAGCTTGCTTGTTCTACATGTTAACAGACAAGGCTAGCCCATACACCAGAGCAAATCAATGAAGCGTGTTATGTTGATATAAATTCCAACAAAGCTGTTTTTGATAGTCTGCGGAATAACCCAAAGGTGCACTATGATGGGAGGCGTTTCGCATACAAGGTAATTTATATTCTCAAATACTGGTATAAATTTGCACGTTCTTGTACTTAATTGGTCTAGATGTTTAAACCTTCAATGGAGGATAACTTTTTTTTGCTTTTCTTTTTTCTGTTTTTCATGTATTCAGTCCAAGCATGATTTAAAGGATAAGAGTCAACTTCTGTACTTGATACGGAAATTTCCAGAAGGCATTGCTGTCATTGATCTCAAGGATTCTTATCCAACCGTTATGGAAGACTTGCAAGTACGTATATTTGAGAAATTTTTTATGTGCGTTTTGAATGGGAAAAAGTGCAATATACTAAATAAACCTTGGATGATGCTATCCTTATTGAACTGCATCAGCAAAAACTTCCGTAGAGTTTAGTATTGGGGAAATTGTGGACATTAAGCATCTTATGTAATTTTTAGGAATATATGAATTATAGCTAATTTATAATTCTAACTACTCTGGAGATTGGTACAAGAATCTGTTGGAATCTGGTTTGGGTCCTATTAGAATTTAATTAGATTAGGACTCTTTGAAATGTAGATTTAATTCAGTCAGTTTGTTACGTTTTGATTTGACTAATTAAGGCGTTGTTTGAGAGTGTTGTGAAATAAAACTCTATGTTTTTTAGCTTGTGAGTAGTGATTTCAAGTGCACATTAGCTTTAAATAATCAACTAAAAGTTGTTCTTAGAAACAAATTTGAAAATAACAGCCAAGAGTTGTATTCCAAAATGTCTCAAAAGGTCCCTAAATTCCTTTGGGCTACTATGCCCTTGTTTTTCCTTCCCTCCACCTCTTCAGCTTGGTTTCTTCTCTTCTCTTCTCTCCATTCCACACCCTATGGTGTCAGTACCAGATGGATGGATTTTAGATCAAATTTTAGGCCCTTTTGCTTGTTTTTGTTCTCTTTCATTTTCCCTCAATGAGCTTATATATAAAAAGGAAAAGAAAAAAATCAAGCAAGTTTGTTCCTTCCTGCAGAATCTGATGGATGCTTATATGTCTCACGCTCACTCACTATTTATGTTGATGATCATGTCATAACTGATAAGTTAGTTTGTTTAGTTTTCCTTCAGGTTAGAGTGGCGTTCCCTTGTACATTCATAATGTTTTATTCACCCTACAAATAACAATTCCTATGCCAAAGTCATAAAGAATAGTGTTTTCTATGGCAGTTGAATTTTAAATTGAAGGATTTAGCCTGCCCCATGATTTATAATCTTTGTCCAGATTGTAGCTTCTACATTTTAGTCGAGAATTAGCAAAAACCTACAAAGATTAGTTTGATTGTGGTATAAACCTATATAGTGAAAGCTTGAAAAAAGAAGTGTAGGGTCCATACATCCATGTTATCTACAAGTTCAGCTCCTCCATCGCATGATCTTGGAAACCATGATTAGACTATTGAGGCCAATAGAAGATGAAGGACTTGAAGATAACATGTTATTTAGCACAAAGACTTAGATGGGAATTAAGAGATTCATAATGACTCCCGGCCGAGCATCATTAGATCACAGGAGTCTTCAGGTCCATGAATTATTCAATTTGTCATCTGAAAAAAGGTTTTGGAAATCAACAGTACTAGCATTCTTCCTGATGTAAAGGAAAAGAAAAGAACTTTCTTTATAAATTGAAAGTCAAACACAACAACCTCAGGTTCCGAAACTACTTGTTCTTGAGTGCTTTGAAGCTTGAGGATGAGTTTTATTCAACCAGGGAAGAACAGTACCAGGGTAATGTTGGAAATTACAGTTTTACATAAGGTTTTTTTTTTTTGGTCCTTTGACTTTTATTTTAAATATTAAGAGTCATAGATAGTCTATCTGATTAGCAAATTACTATGGGAGCTTTTTCACCTTCTAATCTCATGGGACAATCGTCTGGTCCTACTACATTAGGTGTCGGAAAACACATAAGAATTATTAATTCCTAAGATAGATGGCTATCATGGGTTTGAACCCATTCCCTCTCAATTAACCCTAACCCCTTTGGACCAATGAACCATCCATGATGAGTTTACTATGGGAGCTTTATAGTTCTTTTTATAATAACGTCGGGTCATATTAATATGTTGAAATTTAGAATTTTATAGGTTAGGAGTTTTGCTTATAACTATTGTTTTCAGGTTACGAATCTAATTTAGGTTATGAGGAGTGCCTCGTGAAAGTTTACAATTAGGATTTTATAGTAGTTATAATACTCAGCCGAGTAGGAGGAATGGCTTGGAGGTTGTTTTCTTCTGAAGTTATGTTTATTTGTTTCCATGCTTGTTGATCATATATATATATATTTTTTTTTGCCTCCTAACCCATATGAAGTTTTGTTTAGACGTAACCTGGCATTATATCAGTACAACTTCTTCGATACATGAATGGAAAGCACTGTATGAAACCAATTACGAGCTTGTTTTCTTCCAGATGATATATGAGGTGTTAGTGACAGTCCATGAGATTTAATTTTGAGCTTACAGAATCTTTTGCCCTCTTGTTTAGGCCCTAAAAGCCTCAGGCCAGGTTTGGCTTCTCTCAAACTTTGATTCACAAGAAGATATTGCATACCCAAACGATCCTAGAATTCAAATCAAGGTAGATGACGATCTGAAGATACTTTTTCGGGAGATTGAGTTACCTCGTGACATGCTCGATGTTGAGAAGGATCTTCAAAAGAATGGGATGAAGCCTGCAACCAACACGGCCAAGAGGCGAGCCAACGCACAACATGTGGCATCCTCAAAGCCGAAGCCCAAGAAAAAGAAGCAAGAGATCAGCAAGAGGACTAAGCTCACCAATGCACATCTTCCCGAGCTCTTCAAAAATTAGACAACCATTACCGTACGTTTATACGGTTATCTGTAGGGTGTGATACAACAATATACTTATGCATAGTTGATGGACTCTGTAGATAGCATTCTCCATCCCTTCTGTTTGATGTATTGTCCTTTTCTGTTTTCTTGAGATCATCAGAGAATTAAATGCTCCTATGGTAACTTTTGTGTATGCTTTTACTTCAATTAATTGAACAATTGAAATATAAGAGATAAGCTCAATCTAGATATGATATATGACATGAGAAATTTATCATATATGTAAACTTTTAAATTTTATTATTTCAAGTTCATTTGGTGTTAGAAGAATTCATGTGTATTGTAAGTTATAACTATTCCCTTACTTTGGCTTTTGCTTGCTTGAAGTTGGAGGAGGTTGCATGGTTGATTTTTTTTATTTATTTTTAGTGTTCAACGTTATCGTTCGGATTGATTATTGCTAATGTTCGATGTTTAATTTTGTTCTAGTTTTTATAGTTTTTATATGTATGATGCGACATAAATGTATTTTGTACTTAAAAATTTAGCCTATTTAACAAATGTTTTATATGCATGCAAATGTTTCAAAAGTGTAAAATATAATTTTGGTTCATAGGTTTAAACTCAGTTTCTAAAGTTTCAAAATATGTACTTTTAATAGTGATTTATTCTTTCGATAATCTTTTTGAATGTATTTGAAAGGAGGTTATAAATCTTTAAAAATGCTTTCTACTATTTTGATCGAAATAGAATCTCTTCTAAATGATCACATCATAATAAGATTAAAAAAAAGATGTTTCATTGGTGGTATAGAATATGGTTAAAAGAATATATTTCTTTGAAACAAGAGATCAAATTAATTTTCCTTATTTTTTTTCAATAAGTCGGTTTTATCCCAGTGAGATATTTCAAATAACCTAGAAAGGTTTGGAAAATGGTTCTAAATAGGGGGATTGTATTTTGTTATCTAGATGGATATATTAATTTAATATTATTTATGGACTGTATTTATGAGGTCATCTCCTCCTCCTTCAATGTAAAAGGAAAATGGCTGAATGTTCTCCGAAGAAAATCAAGCGGTCCTGATTCGTTGAGTGAAGCAGGCGAATTTCTTGGCAGTAAGAGAATTGTCAAGAACTTAAGGCGCCGATTTATTCAGTTGATGATCGGGTTTCCTAGTCCACCCATTTTTTTATTTATTTTGTTTTATTTTTTATTTTTGTGCTCCATAAAATTCTCAGTTCTCATCAATGTGCATGGCGGAATCTGAGGCTCAAGCTCCGACTAACCCAAGAAATTTGTGATACAGAGACCGTGAGAACCTTCGCAATGCTGATTCAAGCTCACTCCCCAAATCCACACTTCTTCTTTCTTGCCCCAAACCCTTCAGTTTCCCGCCACTTCTCGCTCCATGGTGAGACGTCTTGATTTTGTTTTGCCTTTTCTTTTCTTTTATATGTAGAATTTGAATGTTTATCGAGTTCTGCCATCAGAGAATTGCGATTTTTTGTTGTTGTGAAAATTAATTGTTTTGTATTGAATTTTCTGCACGCTCGTACAGTTTCTCATTTATGTGGACTCAAAGCACCGATAGGTCGACGAAGTGCACGAACGTCTAAAATTTCTGCCTCCGGGGAGCACAGCCCAACCAACAATTTGGGGAAGAAAAGGTACAAGCCTCTCAAATTGCAATTTCAAAATTTTCCGCAATCTATTCTATATGATGCACTGCCCTGCCCAAGAGTTGTAATGTACATTTCTTTTCCCAATTTTACGTAGAAAGGTTTTCGAACACATATCTCTGCTCAAAGCGAAGGAAAATATTTCTGAAAAAGAAGAGAATGATATGCTGGATTATCTATATACCACGCAATATCAAATGGGGGGCATTGTTGCCGTATCATTGGGTGAGTTTCCGGCATTCTGATATCTAAAATCATGGAATGTTCAAATTATTTATTTATGTTTTTAGTAAAGTTCTTCCAACTCAGGACGATCCTCCCTTTGTATTATTTCATTGTAAAGTTTATTTTCCTTTTACTTCTGAAGGACGTGCATGTGATCAAAACAATGAAAGGTATACCCACTGTGTATATATGCGTTTCCAAAGAAAGGAAGACTTGGAGAAATTCTATGTGAACCCTTTCTATTCACGAGTACTAAAGGAGCATGTGATGCCTTATTGCCATGTATGCCTCAACATGTAATACAAATACTCTCTTCATCTAACTTCCTTCCTTTTTTTTTATTCTTCCCTGTTCCCTCCATCTTTTTCTCAGTATCTGTTCAACTTATGAATGGGTTTACCGTCTATACCAGGGACTGATTCATGTAGATTATGAGTCGGAGGTGGAAGATGATATGCTTCCCATATTCCGAAAGGGAGAGGTTTGAACCAAAACTAAATTTCTTGCTAGCTTTTTGGACAAAAATGCAATCTCTAGGTGCCACTATAATGTATATCATTATTTAGTTTTTTTGAAGAACATTGCTTGTGTGATATAATGGATTTTCTGGGGACTTGAAATCACATCTATTAGTGTGAATTTCTTTTAGATTTGTGAAAGGGAAGTATCAGAATCTTTGGAGTGGGGAGAGCCATGAACTTGAAATACTGAGTGGAAGTGGGTTGCTGGACTTCTTTCAGGAAAAGGATACCGAATCTGGTCTACTGATTTTTTTCCCCCTTCTTCTTATTATGTTATTTCTCATATATCACATGCCAAATCTGAAATGCGAGGAAGTTAGTACGACAATAGTGGGACTAAGGACAGATGTTTGAAATTCGAGAAATCTGAAATGCGAGGAATCTGGTCTACTGAGTTTTTGGAATGATAAATCCTCTAAATTGAAATCATATGAGCTTCATCAAAATCATTATTTGTTTCATAAGAAACCTGATTTCTTATGTTTTCTGTCGATTTAAGGTCTTGTAGTGTTTTTGTTTTGAGATGTTGACTACGTCGAGCTTAGTGGGATTTCCCCTTGCTTGGCAACAGGACTATTAGTATTGAAAAGTAGAATTTGTTCCACTTTGTTTTATGTCTTACAATGATCTCTGGTAATATGGGCTTGACAATACCTTTAAAATATTTAGTAGTCACAAAGAGCTTTGATGTCAGGAATTCAATTATGGCGTGGAGTTTGTGCTTCTCATTAAATTTCTTCAAGATTCATTTGGCGAACCTTTAGAAGATGCATTAAATTCTCTTGAGAGACTGACGATAGCAAATCCTTCCTTAATTGTCCAGTTTACGCAAGGTATATTTTTATATTGAATTATTTATTCTAAAACTTGGAGAGAAACATCAACATACATTATATATAGCTATTGAGTTTGAATTTGATGTGAATTACTAGTGACATGCATCCCTAAATATGTGATGAGATTATCTTTAGCTAACCAGTACTTGTAAGTTATTCTTTTCAGATATCAAGTAGTGGGATTTTTATGTTTTGAATTCATATCAGGTTTCAATTTTAATCCCAGTTGTAAGGAGTTTACACATGGAATTGTTATACGATTTCGGTCAAGTAAGCACTTTTATGTCTTTCTATTAATTTATATCCAATAATGGGACCTTCAATGGCGGCCTCAATATAACTTGTTTTGCAGTTAATGCCTTCGAGATATTTACAGGCTGCTCAGATTACAAAGAAGTAAGATACCCTGTTGATCAAGTCATCATATTTGCAGTTATTATTTTCTTTTTTTTACCCCAATTTTTAGTTTGAACCACCACCATCTGTTTGTGATTTTAAAATATCTTCCTTCATTGTTGACTTCTAACTACAATCGGGGCAAAAAATTCCGTACGTTTCATGTCTGCTCCATATTCTGCATACTACCATTTCTTTTTCAAGTTAGAAATGAGAATTACCTAAAAACCCTGAAATTTGGAAATTTTTTTACCTCAAATTATGAATGCGTAATTGCCAAGTTTTTCTCTGAATCATCTGAGAATTTTGTTGAATATGACTTGACTTTTGTCTAATATAGTGATGCCTAATCAATTTTCATTTGGAAAGTAGATGTGGAGGTCTAAGTTCCAACCAATCATCCAGAAAACAGTTTCTCTTCACTTTTCTGTTGACCCAGTAGGGACTGAGATCATGTAGCAAGGAGAGTTCTTGGTTTGTTTCCCATACATCTTCCATCCCAAGTGGTATGTAGAAGATGGTAGGCTTAATATGATTTGAGTGAATTCTTTGTTGCAGGTTTTGATAACAGATTTGGTTGTCTTATATAAAAATGATATGGGTGAGTATCTTGTCTTGTGTTTTTGAGATACAAATTCCTATTCCAGTATTCCAGTCTATTCATCTTTCTTCATCTCAATTTGAATGCATATCAATTGATTGAGGTGTGTGGATTTCTGAACTATCTTTCTACTTGAATGGTTATGCAATTCTACTTCTTCCCATTGAATGTGTTCTAAGATTGTTCGTTGGTTTGTGAAAACCTGTAAAAGGGATTAAGATTTTCTGATTATTCGTGTTAGATCTGGAAAGTAGGTTGACTTTTAGGATATTCTGAAATCGTTCTTTGGTTGTGGAAACCTGTAATAGGTTCTGAGTCTCAGACTTATTACTAACCAATATGATGACTGAGGTGAAAATAACAAACGTAAAATCCTTTTAAGCACTTTGCATACAGACAATCAAATTATAAGAGGAATTTTTAATGTTGAATGCTTGCCAATGATATATCATGAACTATGACTCCCGTGGCTGCTGATACGATATATATAAGAACTTTTACTTCTGTTTGTTTGAAAATCATGGGGATTTTCCTCTTGGACTCTTTCATGTATTGTTTTACCTTGTAAAAGAGAAAAAACCATAGTACAGATCAATATGCTGAGATGAGTTAACTTCTGTCATAACATGTTGACAACTTAAGTAACTACTTATCATCTTGTTCACTCTTCCAAAATCAACATTTTAATCACTTGAATTCCGTCTCATTCTTCAGGGTGGCTACCATTAATTTGACATGAAGTTAGAATCAGGAGGTACAGATTCTTGCATTTGATTTCTAGCTTGTACCGTTCTCTACTACATCCAGTCACTTGGATGGTGAGGCCCTTTGATACATGTTCGGAATGCTATTTTTCTATTCTGTAACAACTCATAAGATAGTCACGTGAATTATTTGATCCACGATGAGAAAAATCTGTATCAAGCTTCATGACCAAAACTTGTGGAATTTGATGTTTGCATCTGAGATTACTGTTTTCTCAACCTTAATTAGCACACATTTTCCCCCCAGAGTGAAAGCTGAAGCTTTCTACTTGAATTTTTGTGCAAAAACGAAATAGTCACCCGGGAAATATATGCTCCAAGTCTGAGTTATTGTTTGGATTAATTAAATGACCAACGTAGCCGAAACAGGCGGTCTTCTTCACTATTTGGAGGCTGCTGCTAAATCTTGCTTGGGTTCTGTAAGTTCTCTTGATATAAAATGCCGCTCTTTCTAGTAATTTACATGAATATGTGATGTATATTTTATATACAGGAAAGGAAATGACATGCTTTTTGGATTTAAAATTTTAAATAAGTGCAGTATCGGTCATCAATAACATTTCATTTGACATTTGTTAAAATTCCCTGAATTCTCGAGGCATGATTTCATAGAATTGGAAACCACATAGTTGGTCGATGTTGTACCCAAAAATTTCTCAAAATTTATTCGTCTTGTAGTATTTGTCTTGAAATTTTCTCCTTTACCGTAAGGTAGAGAAAATTCTTAAATATCAAACTGTACCTTGTTAGCTGCATCATCTATTTGGAAGACAATATTTAGGATTAATGTGGGGATCAAATAATGCATAAAACGAACAAGGCATCTTCGTCCTAAATCTTCACATTTCTTAAAGCTCTGGATGAAATGGTTCTTCTCGGTGGTTCATTTAAAAATCTGCCGACGACTACCATATCCTCATTGATTATTCTTCTTACACATGGAGCACGCCGAAAAAGTTTCTGCTACACTAAATTCACATGTTTCTTTATATACGATTCCCCAAAACAAATCCAATACCCATATGTTTCAGAAGATGGGTTGTGAAGTTTAATGAGTTCTGAGTTACCCAGAAACCCCTTTTTCCTTTACATCCTAGAACAAGTGAAAAAGTATCAAGGGGTGAAGTTGAAGCTTTCATTGATTTCCACGTGAGAGAGATGTACACTTTCTGGCTGTCAAAGCACATGAATTCTTTATTTCCTTGCTGTTGTTTTCATTAGATATTATATCTTCTCTCTTTTTCTCTCTTGATTTCTGTTTTGTCAGATTGATGGTGTTGTTATTTTTCTGGCTGGCATTTAGGATAAATCTCTCTCAACATTTTTCTCTCTTTGGATGGAAGCAAAAAGGGCCAGAAACAAATCCAGATGGGAGTGTCTGAGGGAAGCTCACAAGCTAGTCACAAGTAAGTTTCCTTGGGACCCCCTTCTCTGATCTCTCACTTTTTTCCTTACAAACTTATATAAGATGGGGGCCGACCATCTCCACACACATTGCCCACCTCCCACTGTCCCTTCCCTTCATCATCTTCTGTTGGCCCATTTTCCAGCTACCACTCAGCCCTCAAATAGGTTTAAGGATTTAAAAGAAATGGCAAATGATAACAGAGATAAAACAGTAAACAAAGAAAAAATCTATGAAAAAGAAAGATATGTTGTCTTTATCAACTTTTTAGATTCACAAGCTAACTAATGAGACAGATTATGTATGTTACTTTTTTTCTTTTGAGTTATTATGGTCACGATAAAGGGAAGAAAAGAGAAAAAAGTCTAAAGTGACCATCTTCACGAGACTTTAATTATAGCCATAATTTGCACATTAATTGCTTAGAACTTGTCAAGTTTGGAGTCGCCAAGTGTCCAAATAAATGTGGAAAGTTCCTAGAAATTTGATTGGTGTACTATCTATCATATTGAGAGCTGATTCTTATTTAGCTCAATTTTTCTTCCCTAGAGTATCACATTGTGGGATGACTAATGAAATCTTTAAGGCTTCCCATTTTCATGCCGGTTTCAAGGATTCTATCCTCCTAATGAAGTAGAAATATCACGACTTTGATACGAATGGTTAAGATAACAACCCTTTCATTTATGGATGTTCGCTTCTTGTAATTCACTTTAAAAATTTGACTAAAAAGACCTCAGACTCAATAGGAATGTTGTCGTTCTAATAAACTTATTATCTTTCTCACCTCTAATACTCAACGGGGACTTTTATCACACCTTTAACATTAAAGTTTCTTGATAAATAATTTAATTTACGAAATATCTTCTTACTCTTTGTGATTAAGAAATGGAGTTTTCTCATTTGGTCAAAGAGGTAACAACATTGGGTTGAGCTGTCTGCATTAATAAGATCTGCTCCTGGAATCCAACCTTTGACGTCAAGAAGACCACAAAAAGGAAAGAGAGAGAAAGAGATTGAGAAGAAAAAATGTAAAGAAAACTCCATAGGTAACGGCCTGAAGGGGACAGATGAAGTTGAAAAACAGTCTCAAGCTACCGATAAAAGTTTCAGCTTAATTTTAAAGTTTGAATCTCACCCCTAATTTTGACAAATGGAGCTCCCCAGTGATAATAGATGTTTGATCTACCAAAAAAAAAAAAAAAAGACTATTATTTGGTGGTGTATCCTATCTATTTTGTGTCAATTTTAGGTTATTATTTCAATGGGTTTTGGTGTAACCAAAAAAGGGTTCATCTTTCAGATAAAGAGATCAGCATCATCCTTGAGTTTGATATATTAGCTTCATGATAAGCATAGAAAGAGAGGCAAAGCCTTTTGCCCTCTTTTAAACTTTGCATTTGATATAATTGAACTCAGGCTAAATTACAAAAATACTCTTGAACTTTCCCGTTTGTTTCAAAAATGTCTCTATCATTTCAATATTATCCTTAATCTTTCTTAAATGTGTCTGGAACGACGATGTGACAATTAACGTCCCAAATTTGCCCGAAAACTCTTCTTCCTCCATTGTCAAGAGAACGTGTTTCTCTGTTGTCTATCCAGTTTTGTCATTATCTGCCCCCTTTCAAAGACAATAATATTTTCTACATTTTCTCTCTTTTCAGACTTAATCAAGGCAAGTTTCTACATTAATTGTCACGTCATTCTAAATCTGTCGTCGACTTTTCGTTCAAAATGTTTTTGACCGTCTGCTCAAAGGATCTTTTTAAAATGTTTATAAAATGTGAAAAGTAGCGTTGAAAGGCTGAAAAGATAGAAAGGCGAAATTGATAAGTAATTTTTGTAATTTAGCCCTAAACTAATATTGTGACCCAATTGCAAAGGGGTCATATATGGAAAAATTAATGACAAATTCTGAGGGGAAGTTTGATTAAAGTGAAAATTGAAATAATGAATATAAGGTGTAGGGTTTGGGTAAGTTGTTGAAGGGGACCATCTAGTAAGTGACAATGCCCATCATCCCACCAGCTGCATGAAACTGTCCATCTTTCATTCTCATCCATCTTAATTTATTATTCTCAATGTTTCCTCCAACTATTTACACCATTAATGTATGGATTCCTTCATTTCACCAATTTATTTATTCATTCATTTATTTCAATTTAATCAATACTGGATTGGATTCCTTTTAATTTTCTAGTGTCTATACCACACAATTATAGCAGAACACACACATTAATTTATGAAATTTGAATGTAATAAAAGTAATTAATTGAAAGTGTGAGAAACTTCAATAATATGCCCTTTTTCTTTTCTAAAAAAAAAGTTTAGACCCAAAGTTTCATAGGTTGTGGTGTGGGGGCACTTTGCATAAAGTAATGAGTGAGGGAGGGCCAGTGACTAAGTTCATTCAACTTTAATATTATTATTGCATTTGAAGCTCATTCATTAATGCATCATATCTTTCTGCTACCAAATCCCCAACAAGAATTTTCAAATTATGTTCATAATTTGATTCCTATGATCCTATCTATAATACACATATCAATTGGATCTGAAATTTAGCATTGTGTGTCTATCAAATATCAAGAGGGATGAGAGTAACGAAAATTGAAGTTTAAATTATATGTTTCGTCTCTCAACTTTTAGTACTGTGTTTATTAAATTTGATCTATACTCTTAAAAGTTTTTAATAGGTTCTTCAACTTTAAAACTACTTAAAAGCTTCATATAAGTTTATAAACTTTCAATTTTATATATAATAGATTCCTACAGTAACTTTGTTAGTCTAACGTTTACTTAACTGTACACTTAAACGTTAAACCTATATAATTAAGTGTTCATGAATCTATTACAAAATCTTTAAAATAGGGACAAGATTTACCTAACTTTAAAAGTTTTAGGACCAACACGTACTAGAATTTAATAGACACAATTTTGAAAGTTCAGAATAAACTTGTGACTTGATCGAAGGGCAAATAATAAGATGGTTGTGGTTAAGCTCACTTGACTCCTCAACCTCAACTCAACTAAAAAAAGGCTTTAAAGCCAAGCAAAAACTCTCCATTATCAATTATCCTAGTCCCTTCTTGTTCTCGAAAGCAACCTCTTTTTCTCTTTGGCACTATTAATTGTATGGTATATTTATGGTACATTTCAATGCAATTGCAAGCTACCAAGTACCATATTGCAACACTTTTCTTCTTCTTTTAACTTCATTTTCAAATCACCAATCTACATTAATGTGCTTCCAAGGTTGATGGGCTTTTATTAGGCATTTAATTTATCTCGTACCAAACATTATTCGTTTCTCCTTTAATTTACTACTACTTCACTTTAATTGACATTGTGAAGTGTTGTTTTCGTCATATCGCTTATAAAAAAATTTCGTTCATGACTTAAGAGTACTCATTTGGAGGTGACTAGAAGTATTTTTACCACGGTCAAAAATATTTTCCACTCAAAAGAATCATTTTTAGAAGTAATATAAAATAAAAATAATTAAAAACACCTTAAAGTGCTTTATGTAAAAATACTTGTAAAGTGCTTTGGGCTTGAATGCATAATCAAAAAAAAAAAAAAAAACCCTAAATTGGTGTAATTTGAGGTAAAAGAATTGAGTTAAACTTAAACTTTCCTTATATAAAACTCAATATTACTGTGTTTATATTATAAATTAAATTTTTACCGATCATAAATCTATAAATCAACTCCACGATTCTATATTATATAATTAGTTTAATAGATATATCTATATACATTTCAAACTCAAGCTAATAGTAAAAAAACAATTACTAATATGAGCTTAACTCAGTAGTAATGAGTAGTTGATATCTGCCTCTGAGTTTAAATACCTACTAAAAACAAAAAAAAAACAACTGCATTACCATTTAATTTCAATAGTTTAGAATCCTATATTAATAAACTAAAAGCTGAGAAGGCACCAAAATGGAAATAACAAAAGAAGAGGGGCATAAATGCAAATTAAACTGACACTTTTACTGTTCCCTCTACCTAAGGCAAACTACCCCCAATAATTTAATCATACATAAGAAATAAGAATTCACCTAATTAATATTTAAAAGGAAATTAAATTAATAATCTCAAATTAATTGAATTCCTTTTCTTTATTTTTCCTTTTTCCATGTGTCACTCACCACTCTTTTCAAAAGCACACCGATAATAAAGTCCTTTAGATCTGCTCCTCTGTTTCTTTCCCACGCTTCCATTTCTGTTCTGTATGTCCTCTGCAATTCTTTCCTCTGCACAATTACTACGTCTCCCACGTCAAATTGTGTCTTCTTTCTCCTCTGACGAGCTTCTGTTAGTTCTTCAGTTGCCTTTTCATTGTCTCCTCTTGTTTTGGCAATGACCCACCACCCAAATTCCTGCTCATTCTACTGATCACATCTGGGGGTGAGGTGACTCCAATGTTGGAGTTTCCGACGAATGGCTGGAGCTCTCGGCGTTTATGGTGAATTTTTCCGGTGAATTTGAGGACTGGTGAAGATGTTTAAGTCGGCGAGGTGGAGGAGTGAGAAGAACAAGATCAAGGCAGAGTTCAAGTTGCAATTCTGTGCAACACAGGTTGTTTAATGTTTTGGTTTCTGATTTGATTGATCGAGTTCAATTTGGGATTTCTGTACAATGTAGCGAATGGGAAAATGGAATGGTGTTTACTTCACTGTTTTGGAACGTGAGAATAAGAAAAAGAAACTGCGTATTAACAGTTTGTGATTTCAGATTTCGGAATTTGGTGGGGATGCATTGACGGTTTCTGTGGTTCCTGGCGATGTGGGAAAGCCGACGGTGAGGCTTGAGAAGGCCACAGTGCGAGGGGGAAAATGTCGGTGGGAGAATCCTGCTTATGTAACAGTGAAATTTGATGTAGACCAGAGAACTGGAAAGCTTGCGGAGAAAATCTACCATTTTCGAGTCTCTACGGTATGGAAACTTGGTCAAATTCTTTATGCTTTCAATGTGTTTGGTGAAATGTGAGGTTGTGGGAGAGATTTAATTCATGGGTTTTGTGTAGGGATCGGCCAAAGCTGGTTTTCTTGATGAAGCTTCTATTGATTTTGCTAAATATGCTGAGGCCACCAAACCCTTCTCTGCTTCTCTTCCCCTCCAGAATTTAAACTCTGCAGTTTTGCATGTTAGTCTCTCTCTTTCTTCCTCTTTCTCTCTCTCTGTTCTCATGTGTTGGAAGCTGTAAGAGTTCAAGTTTCTTCTGTTGTACAGATTTGGATACAGAGGATTCAGGAAGATGGTGATCAAAGGTATGCGAGAGTGAATTACAGTCTATAAGTTTTTCTCCTTTTACTGTTTATTTTAGGAACATGGGGTATGGGGATTGACCTGCTCTGTTTTGGGAGCTCTTTTCAGAGATGTGGAAGAATATGAGGGTTTAAAAACTAGATCTCAAGACGGGAGCTTAAACAGCTACTTGAACAATGAGGATATAAACAAAAACAGTCACACTGAAGTAAGATTTCTTGCCCCAGTAGGCCATGAATTCATTTTGTTCAGTTTTGATCAGTTATGTCACTAATTTTGGAAGGAAACTCTAGTGTGATGATTGGATTTGTTATGTATAGTGTTGAGTCAAATCTCCTCTCTTTATTTTGCAGGATGGGTTAAGTCATGAAGCTGAGAAAAATGGTGAAGCAAATGGTGATCATAGAGCATCAAGTGGATCTGACATTACTTTATCAAGTTCTGAGAGCAGCTCTGGACTTGACAGTCCGATCGAGAATGGAATTAGGAATAACATCGATCACCAACCTAATGGCTTTCTCTCGCCGTTAAGCCACGCTCCAATTTCTTGCAAATCACCTACTCATGAAGGGAATCAGACATCGCCGTGGAAGTGGTCGCTTCAATCTGATAATGTATTAACAACGGATGATTCTAGAGCTGGTGGCCTTTTGTTGGGAAGGTCCAAAAAGGAAGCTGATGCTGAGATTGATGAGCTTAAGACTGAGCTTTCTGGTTTGGCAAGACGAGCGGACATGTCAGATATGGAATTGCAGACACTTCGGAGACAGATTGCAAAAGAAAATAAGAGGAGTCATGATCTTATGGGTGAGATTTCTAGCTTGAAAGAAGAGAGAGATGAATGGAAAGTAGAGTGTGAGAAGTTGAAGGGCTTTCAGAAGCACATGGATGATGGAAAAGTTAAAAACAAGTTGCAGTTCGAAGGTGGGGGTCTGCGGTCTCTTTTAGAAGAAATGAGACAAGAACTGAATTATGAGAAAGACTTGAATGCCAATCTCCGGTTACAGCTACAGAAGACACAGGAATCGAATACCGAGCTAATTTTAGCAGTACAAGATCTTGAGGAGATGCTGGACCAGAAGAACTGTGAAGTATCAGATATTTATACTGAGTCAGAGTCCAAGAAGGCTGAAGAGATGAAAACTACTTGTTCAAAATGTCGAGTAGAAGAGGATGAAGAGCTAAAGGCACTTGAAGATCTTGTGAGGGATCAAAATAATGACAGAAGAGCGTATATGCTGGAGCAAAAGGTGATGGAACTCTACAATGAAATAGAATTTCATTTGAGAGATAAGGATGAGCTGGGGATGCAAATGGAGCAGCTTGCACTTGATTATGAAATATTGAAACAGGAAAACCATGATCTTTCCCATAAACTGGAGCAAAGTCAACTTCAAGAGCAATTGAGGATACAGCACAAGTGCTCCTCTTCGGCTGCCACCATAAATGATCTGGAAAAGAAGATTGAGAGTCTCGGAAACGAACTAAAACAGCAGTCGGTTGAACATTCTAATACTTTGGTGGCAATTGGGGAACTCGAATCCCATGTCAGAAGTTTGGAGGAAGAACTTGAGAAGCAGGGGCAAGATTTCGAAGCCGACTTGGAGGCAATGATGCTTTCCAAGGTTGAGCAAGAGCAAAGGGCTATCCGAGCGGAGGAAGCTTTGAGAAAAATGAGGTTGAGAAATGCTAATACTGCGGAAAAGCTTCAGGAGGAATTTGGGAGGCTGTCTAAGCAAATGGCATCTACATTTGAGGCAAATGAGAAAGTGGCCATGAATGCACTAGCAGAAGCTAGTGAACTTCGCTCACAGGGAAGTCACTTAGAAGAAGCTCTCCAGAAAGCAAATGAAGAGCTACGGTCTGTGAGAGAAAATTATGAGGAGAAACTGCGGGAGCTTTCTCACCAAATCAAGAGCAACTCAAGTCAGATTGAACAGATGATATCAGAACTTGAGACTAAGTCCAAACAACTCGAACGTCAGAAGAAGAACGAGGACACGAAGTTCGAATCTTTCTCGCAGGAGATCGAAATGCTCAAGTCCGAAATTGATCGACTCAAAGAAGAGAATAATAATCTTAAAGGACAAGCTGGCCAGGTAGAGACCATGAGGGTAGAACTAGATCAAATGAAGACATTAGTTCGAGAAACTGAGATGCTAATCCAAACAAGAAATACAGAGAGAAATGAGCTGGAGAGTACAGTTGTATTGGCAAAGAAAGAATCTGACAAGTTAGTCGACGAGTTGGAGAAAATGAGGAATGCGAAAGAGGAAAAGGAGACTTTGTTGGGACTTCTACAGTCAGAGTTGCAGAAGCTCAAAGTTGAGTGCAATGACTTGGAACATTCTTGCAATGACTTAAAACATTCTTTAGCTGAGGGTGAGCTAGAGAAAGAGAAACTTAGAAAGCAGGTATTGCAACTGAAAGGTGAGCTGAAGAAGGAGGAGGCCTGTAACAACTCCGAGAAAAAGCTCAAGCATAACAACGGACGTATGGCGACTGTTGGTGGAAACAAAATTGCTTCAAAAACAAAATTAAATTCAGTTCCTCATGACTCTGCCGAAGTTGCAAATCTGAAGGAGAAAATCAAACTGCTCGAGGTAACGTGATCTTCCAAGCAGAACAGAAGTTCATGGGAATTCATTTATATGACTGCATAGAATATGTTGGCTGACTTTTTCATGGCATTATGATGATGTTACTTGTCTAATAGATAATTTTTGTCCTGCAGAGACAGATTAAGTTAAACGAAAACGCCTTAGAAACATCAGAGAATTCATTCCTCCAAAAAGAACAGGACTTCTGCAACAGAATTCTAGAGTTGGAGAACAGACTGGAAGAACTGAATCATTTGGAAACATGTCAAAAGGTTAGGAAACGTTTCAGATATCACAAGATATGTAAATGCATTTCAGAGTATGGTGCATTAGATAAAACAAGCACTACTAATACAATTTCCATCTCATTTAAAGGTGAACGACAGTAGAAACGATGCTGCTTCACGTGGTGGAACATTCGAGGAAACAAGAACAAGAGCTGACAACTTAGCCGAAGGAAATAGCAAGGAATTATCAATCAATAGGTAATAAGTTGAAACAACCAAAGCTCAGTTCATTCTACTAGTTACAATCAAACGTTCTCTCTCATAAATCATATGAAAATATCTCTGTACAATTTTCTTTGTTTTCACTTCGCTGCAGCAACGAGAGCTCATTTGAAACAGCACCGAAACTCTCTACGGTTTGCAATGGAGATGGCAACCTTGATAAACTGTTGACGGAGTTGTCCACATTTAAAGAGAAGAACAAATCAATGGAAAGTGAACTGAAGGATATGCAAGACAGATATTCAGAGATAAGTCTCAAGTTTGCAGAGGTAGAAGGTGAAAGACAGCAGCTCGTAATGACAGTGCGCAACCTCAAAAATGCAAAGAGGAATTAACTCTTCTCTAACACACTTGTATTTCAATACAGAATTCCTACATATAATGTATAGTTGAGGAGCTTCTTTTACCAAAGTGAATAAATTAATTGTATATTTTTATTTTTATTCTTTTACCCTAAAATTTACCCCTGCCTTGTTGGGTTACAGAATCCTGTAAACTTGTTCTTTCCTGGTTGGAAAAGAAAAAACTTACACAAATTTCTTCATATGGATGAATTTAAAATTTCTTGAAACTGTTTCCTATAGACCGATCAAAACAGTAGAACAGATCTGCATGTTTGTTCAATCAACAAGTTCTGTTAACTTGCTCATACCATATGATAATGATTAATATTCCCATTCAGAAGGTTTGACCAAAGTTTAATATAACATATGGAGGCAAATGAGATGTAAAAATCCCATTGTTCAATATTTATGCACATTTAATCAGCTACATTATTCTAGCCTCCTTAAAAGTTATATTTTGTCATCTTTGCCAAGCAGGTTGGCCGGTTGGAGCCTGCTTGGCGGTGACCCTATCGAAAGAAATCCGATGATCATTTTAAAGTTTGGAATTTTGATAACTATATTCAACAGTTTCTTTTTAAATCAAATTTTATAAGATGTCAATTTCATCTTAAATTTTTTTTTCAATTTGTTTAAAAATATTGGAAGAGGTTGAGTTTGCTAATAAAGCTACATGCATTTAAGTTAAAACCCATTTATTTGTGTGTTAACCCAAACAAAGAAATACACAAAGGGACAAGTATATACTTTTTGATGACTTAAGCTGCTTTCATATTTAAATATTTCATGACATCACAGCTTGGAGAGGGAAGCAGAGGAAAAAATTAGATCCAAAGTCTAAATTGGCTGCCTACCAATTTGCATTAGCATTAGGGATTTTGGCATATGCCATAAGCATCTCCTTGAGAGGAAAACACCATTTAATGAAAACTCAGAAAAAAAATTAAAAAAAAAACTTCTATTTTTTAATATCACATATTGCTAATTGTCCTATGAAATGATTGCTTTCAATGAATAAGAAACTTCCACTATTGAAATCATCAAGTTATGAGACTTCAAAAGCAAGCTTATTAAATGAATTTATATGCCAAATCCTAAAAGTTGTATTTTATAACATATATATGTGTTCAAATCAACAATGACATATACACATGACATATAAATGTGTTTAAAATTATCAACTGTCACGTTAATAAATTAATATAGTTGATGCATAAGATTGTAGAACCTAGCCATCTTATCGGCTTGGTCCAAAGTCAAGTTGAAACTTGATCAAACTGTTCGATTTGGTGAAGGTACCATGACATCATGAGAAAGGTAGATATACCATTTTATGTGATGGAAAAAGTCTGTAAATTCAGATTGATGCAGAATTTGGATCCAAGCTCTGAATGCTCCGACAGAACAATCGAATACTTGCACACGCAATAAATCGTCCAAGACAAGGAAGTTGAGGCTAGCAAAAAAGAAGGTTATGTAACGTACCTCATGCTTGGGATATTACGAGGGAGTCTTTTCGAGTTAGTTTACGTGGACCGGTCTGAACGGCTCAACCCACATCCTCGAACTTATTTCAAACGAAGCGCCTATAAAATTATTTATGTTGTTAGGGACCCAAACCAAATTATATGATACATAGACTTTGACAAAATTAATCTAAACTGAATGACATCAGCCAAAAGGTATATTTTGTCCCTTAAGCAACAACAGAAAATATTTATATTCAAATAAACAACGACTACGACATCTAATTTGTGTTTAGACTTCAAAATTATATGTCTGCTACAATTAATTAACTTAAATCTCCTCTAATCATGATCAACCATTCAGGAAGCTAAAAAAATTTGTATAAAAAAATGTATTAATTGGACTGAGCCACCTTAATCGGAGCAGGCTGGCCGGCTGCGGTACCATTCCACAACGCCTATAAATCCACAGCTTCTCCAAGATTTTCTCAGTTCAGTCGAATTGAAAATCTCTGTGTTCCGATCAAAATCAGAGGCAGAGAATTGTTCCGATGAGGCAAGCGGGAGCGTATTCCGGCGTGTTGTACTGGAAAACAGGGCCGCACTCGCTGCCGCTGGCGAGAATCAAGAAGATCATGAAGAAGTCCGGCGAGGACGTGAAGATGATTTCCGGCGAGGCTCCGATCGTGTTCTCCAAGGCGTGCGAGCTGTTCATCGAAGAATTGACGAGGAGATCGTGGATGGTCGCGATGCAGAGCAAGAAGAGGATGCTCCACAAAGAGGACGTCGCCTCCGCGATCTTGGCCACCGATCTTTTCGATTTTCTGATCGGTTTGATTTTCCACGAATCCGCCGGCGAGATTGCCGATGAAACAACTGTATCCATGCCAATGGAGATGAGTTTCAGAGATTTGAGTGCTTAGAAATTGCAAACTCGATATCTCTGATCTCTGTCTTCCTCCGTAGCCATTGCAGTTCAATTCGTCTCTGTGACGGAATATGTAAAGTATGATTCTGAAACTTGTAATTCGATTTCTAGTAATGAATTTTCATTCGGCAGCAATGCGTACATGGTGTCTATGGAGTCTGTTTCGTTGGTAATGTTCATAATATTATTAAAAAAACTTATCTCCAATTAAGAAGACTTGAGTTCGAACATCATCCTCATGTTGTACTTACAAAAAGACTCGACCTTTTATGGTAATAACTGTGACTAAGTCGTTTCAATGCTCAAGTCCATTCTAATTTTGAGTTTAATCAAGTTTTGATCTATTAAAAAGATATCTCTAGGCTAGACTTTGACGTTAGTATAGTTTTGATATATTTCGGTGGAAGCTCGACTTGACATCGACTTGAAGAAGGTGGCAGAGACACACTTCTAAAAACTCCCATATGAAAAGGCAAAGTTCCTCCTTCTCAAAAGTACACAATTTTTACACAACCTAACCAAGTTCGGTCCAACACCAGCTTGGATTAAGTTCTTACTTAAGTTTCAAATTGTATGTGGTTGAGCACAACATCGAAGCAGCATTCTGTGTTTAAGTACTCAGTTCGGTAGGTTAGAAATCAACGTATCACCTCATCTAGAACCCTATATGAAAGATTAGAGTAACTACTACAAAATTGTTGAATGACATATGATGTGATATCATTGTGTCTCGACTATTGGACTTGTTCGATACATAGGATACATGTTTTCTTTTCTCACTATGATTGAGCTACCAAGTCCTAGACTTGTCTAAGTTTGATAGCTTCCTAGTCTTGTACTAGACTCACATAGTCACATGAGCTTCACTTTAGTGACTTAAGCTTAGGTCCTTTTTCTATGGCTTTACAATTTTGTAGTTTGGTCCTTTTTCTTCAACATCATCATAACCCATTGGGCTGTATCTATATATTTGAACATTGGGCTATATCTCCAAATTAACGTGGCCTTGCATAGATTTGTTTGTATACCCACAATCCCTCTAATACAGTTTATAAAATTATGATTATAGAAAATTATTACCAACTAAAGCATAGTTGCATAGTGAAAGCATCTTTTACTTTCTCCAAAAAAAAATGGTATGTAATATCTTCAAAAAGATAAAATATCATAAAAAATAATTATAGAGTTATAGTTAGTCTTTGATTCTTCTATTGAACTTCTTACTTCAGGTCTTTTAGATCGAACAACTGAACTTTTCGACAATTGTTCTCCTTTCGTTACTGTTCCCATCTTTTCAAGACATGTCAAAACTTGCGTATCAAGAAGTATAAGTAAAAGTGAGTAAATTTACCCATATCAAGTTTTTGGATTTTTTCTAATGTATTCTAGTTATTCCTATGTTCTCGATTATTTTTTTTTCAAAAAAAAAAAAAGAAAAAGAAAAAGAAAAATAATGGAGCTTAATTACATTATGGAAACATTTGAAATCTAACCTTTTAATCTAGGGTCTATACAGAAATATATTTGAACACATACTGAAATGAGAAATTCATATTAATGAATCTTTTTTTAAATGTAAATATGTTTGTAAATCTCAGGTATTTGTAATGAATTCACCAAACATTTGAAAATTGCTTACTTTTGAATCTACTTTGATGAATTGATGGTGAAGAAGACAGCTTACCTTAAAAACCACCCACAAGATCACAACCCAAAAGTTGAAATTATCAATAAAGTACTAGTACTACCCCCATGCCTGTGATGTGATTCTTTTGTTTTCCTTTTTCAAAATTGTTAATTGACAAAATATTTAAAAAAAAAAACATGCAATTTAGGAAATATTTTTCCTATTGAGAAAATTATATGAAATACTAGGTTTTAAATTCATTTTACTCCTTAAATTTGTAGATCCATTCTATTTTGTACCCTCAAATTTTAAGAGGTATATTCCAATTCTTGAATTTTAATGTTTCTTTTACTTCCCCAACTTTAGGGGGAAAAAAAACAAAATTTTCTTATCATTCTTTCACTTGATATACTATAAATAATTAAAAGCAAAATAACAAAACTAAATTAATCAACGATGAAATTTGAACTTATTAGTCAATAATTCACCAAAAGTACACATTAAAGAACAAAAGGGTGTCATCTCCTTAATCTAGAAGGAAAATAAAGGATGTGTTACAAACAAAACAATTATAAAATTAAACCAAAAAAACAAACAAACAAACAAAGGCAAGACAATGAACATGGCTTGGTGCTGCCTTTTTTTTAAATACAAATGGCCTACCAATATATATCTTCCAATTTATTCCCCCAAAAAATAATAATAATAAATTAATTCCCTTGACTTTTCTTCCTGTGGCCCAAATAGACATTAAAAAACCATAAATCAAACTATTCACTAGTTGAATAATGTACACATTCCCTCTACTTTGTACTGTTCACAACCATACTCAATTCTCTACTGTTTCAACTTTCAACATTTAAAAATTTCTATATGATTTAATTTAGGATGATTTTGATCTCTCACATCTAATTAAAAATCTATCAAAAATAATAATGTAATTAACTTTAGTAATAGAAAAATGGGAGAAAGCAAAGGGAGGCAGAGGCAGAGGCAGAGGCAGAGGCAGGGCAGGGTGAGGTTTTAATAAATGGTGGTTGCCTTTTAGACTGTGTTGCTTTGAAGCATCATCATTGACAAGATTGCTTCTTGCTTGGGCAACCAATCACTCTGTCTTCTGCCTTCCTTCAAATTTTGTAATCAAATAATATAGCTTTTTTACTACTTAAATTGGTTTCAAAAATTTTTTTTTTTATCAGGACGTTTTAAAAGTTTCAATTTTATCATAATCTTTCGATGGGTTAAAAAAGATCAAAACCATGTTAGAAAGTTCCGTTATATGATACTACATATCAGCTATAGATAAAGTTCCGTTATGATTCGATCTCACTATCATTTTTTATGGGGTCCATATGTTAAGGCTCTTAACTTTCCAATGTGAGATCATTAACATGCCCCTCAAGATCGTGACTCTTTTGACTCATCGATTTTGGTCAAATCTTATTTTTAGATCGAATGCTAAACTTTTGTTAGGTTCCTCGTATTTTTGATACGGGATCCTTAACACTTGTCATCTTTTGGTCAAAGATGCGTCTTAACTAGATAAGCTAGATTCAAATAGATACGTATAATTTAACATACTTCACTTTATTAATCAATAATACATGAAATATCCATTATTCACCTTCAATTAAATTTTTTTTAATTATTTCCTCTCTCTCTCATTTATGTATAAGGGGGTGTTTGGCTTAGGCAAAGGAGGACCAAACCGTTGAAGATGTTTATGAGTGGGTCATATCATATGCTAAGTTATTAATTATTGTAAATTGCATCAACAACAACCATAAATTTAAATATATATAGTACTTCATGCTTTATAGGATGCGTCCTTTATTTTTTTTTTATGGCCTTCTCCTCCATCACAACCAAAAATATATATTATTTTTCCATCAACCAATTTGTAAATTTTTTATTTTGGTCAAGATTAAATTCAAATAATTGTATGCATCTAAGCTTCTGCATTGATGTATGCAATTAAGGTTAATTTGTATTTTTATTATTAAAATTTCTTTTAGACAAGTTATCATGCCACTCAAAAAAATTTTAAAAAAAGAAAGAAAGATAGATTTGGTGGATAGTTAAAGTTAGATTTTTCTTGTGAAAATGTTGAGTTTTACGTGCCAAATAGAGTGGCATATATTTCCGTCTCTAAATCATAACGGATTTCAAATGAACACCACATGATTTTGAATGATTTCGAATTTTAAATCATGTTTTTACATTTAAAAATATTCAGATCAAAATGATCGGATTTTTTAGGATTTCATAGAATTTCAAAATAAATGACCTATTTAACCTTGTCATATTATTTGTAATTAATAAATTCAAATTAAAAATTCAAATCAGTAAAAATTTTATTTTATTTTATTTTCATTTCACCGAACATTGAAACAAGTAGATTTTAGTTTAATTAATTTCAAATAAAACAATATAAAAAAATTTWAAATCATCTTTTGGATTTCAAATCATGTAATTTAAAATGATTTCTTTAATTTCTTTGACGGGAAACAAAGAGTCGTTAAAAATTTATAATATGACACAAAATTGAATTTTTCACTAAAAATAAGATCACTTTCCTTTTAAAAATTAAACAATTGAAATCAAAATTCGTAAATGTAAAACATGCGCCCAGCCCAATGACAAACAAAGAAAAAATAAAACAATTTTGAAAAAATAAAAAACAAGAAGGAGGGGGAAAAAAAGAAAGAAAAAAACTAACTTTGATAAGAGTTAATTAAGGCGAGAAAAATTAAAGAAATCTCACTTCTAATGCAATCATTAGCAGAATAGTTAAGAAGATGATGTTTCTGTACGCCATCCGAACCCAACCAACCACTGTGACCGAAGAACTATGCTTTAATTTTATCTAATTTTGAAGAGAATGAACAGCCCAATCAAGTAATTGGAGGAGTCGAGCTGCAGAAAAGCTCCAGATTTGGCACCGAAAAGTAGAAGGAAACATTCTCACTCCCTCTCCATCGCTTTCATTTTCTTCCAATTTGGCAACCCATTTCGTTTTACTCAACCAAACCTTCTCCTTCTTCCACCATTCGCCAAAACCTCTCTTGAAATCCAAGTTTCACTTCACCCACATCCGGATTTGGCTTAAGGGTCCTTCCAATTCCAAGCTTCCCTCTCTTCTCTGTGCTTTAGCTTGTGGGTTGGGTAATGACTCACTGTTTTGGAATTTCATCTCATTTAATTCTAATGTACTGATTAAGTGGGAGTGTTGAGCCCTCCTCTCGCAATAGTAGAGATTCCAGTATTAGTAGGATCTGGGGGAGTGGAAGGAGAATGCAGAGCTATTCTCCTGATAAGAACATCTCCTACTTGCTTGATTTTCTTCGGCTGTTTCCGCCTTCTTCTACATCTTTTTTGGGGGTTCTTTTGTTCTTCTGGGCAATGCTGGTTCGCTGAGCTATCTGGGTTTTGTTCTTCTTTGGGAAAATTGAGATAGAATGGGACTTGTTGCTTCCGTCCAGATTTTCTGCCTGATCTCTGCCATTCTGGTTGTGACCGCTGATTCCTTTGCATCAAATGAAGGTAGATTTTATCTTTTCTGCTAGATCTTGATCTTTTTTGGGCATATTTTGTAACAGAACCTCCGTTTAGTTTGCGATTTTTTTATTATGTCAAATTCAAGAAATGGTAATGCAGAGTTCTAGTGTGTTACTCGAGTACTGGGATCCCGATCTTTACCAAATCATGCGTCTAGTTTCTGCTCTTAGATCAAAGTTTCGTCTACTTGCTTAGTCTGTGTTTCTATATCTGGTTCAAGTTATATCAATATGCTTAGCCGAATAAAAAATTCTTTAGACTTACACTTAGTTAATATAATTATGAATAGCCCGTGACTGGGATGTACTTGGTTTTCTACTTTCCTGCAGTGTCGGCTCTTAAAACCTTCAAAGAACAAATATATGAAGACCCAAAACGAGCTTTTTCAAGTTGGAATTTACAAGTTGAAAATCCTTGTAACTGGTCTGGTATTGCCTGTTCTCCAGATGGAGGCCATGTCATAAAGCTGTATGTTTCTTGAGCTTTGTGGCCTTTTTTGTTTCATTTTGGCCTACTGTTCAACTATTATAGCTTAAATATAAAACACCGGGTTGGGTTCGATGTTGCAGTAACGTTTCCGGGGCATTGCTGAAAGGATTTCTAGCACCAAGCTTGGGTCAACTCAGCTTCCTGCAAGAACTGTATCTTCATGGCAACAATCTGATTGGAACAATACCCAAGGAACTGGGGTTACTAAAGAAACTCAAGATCCTTGATTTGGGGATAAATCGACTCTCAGGCCCGATCCCTCCAGAGATAGGGAGTTTAACAGATGTTCTGAAAATGTGAAAAGCAAATGACTTCACTTTTCTTTTGACCAAGCTTTGAATTTGCTTCTCCCTGAACTTTTTCTCACTGCTCTTAGTTTCCTCTTTATTGATGCAGCAACTTCGGATCGAACGGATTGACTGGGAGGCTACCCCCTGAGCTGGGAAATTTGAGATACCTCAGAGAACTTAGGTTGGATAGGAATAAACTTCATGGACCCATTCCGGATGGTGACAGTTCAGATTATACATCCAATATGCATAGAATGTAAGTAAATACTTCTAATGAGGATCATTGAGATAATATGTACTTTGAATTGTACCGAGAAATTTCACCAAAAGGGAGAGACAAAGTATAGGGAGAAGAAATCCTTTCATTTAAAGCCAACCAAAATGGAGATTAGAAAAGAAAAACTTTCCAGTTGAAACGAATGAAAAGTGAAGAATAACTGTAGAACTTTTTGTGAAGGGAACACCATCTAGACTCTAGAGGTTAGATAATCGTAGTTTCACTTATAAGAATCATGTCCAATGAGCATCTGACAAACTCTTTAATATTCTCCCTAGCACACTGCTGTAAGTTAGGAAGGGCTAGGATTCTGCACCATAAGTTCACGATCAATGGGCACAAACGAAAATATTGCTGGATATCAATGACTTATACGGCTTAGTGAGTGCCTATATGAATTCTCCCCATTTGGCTTATGAACATGAGTGGAGTTATAAATATACAGGTAACTCTAGCTCAATGTCCACGGTTGAGATTACCACGAAAAATCTGTTATGTCTCCAACATAATTTTCTTTTGTTCACAATGTTGTGATCATGAATGATGATGTTGTGAAGATTCTCTGTCCATCCTTAAACATTTGTTTCCCCTTCAAAGTTTGTGAGGCTTCTTAAATGATAGATTCAAGTTTTTAGTTACCTTCTCTTGATAATCTATTTTCGTTTTGTCTGTCCCTCATCTCTTTTCATGTTTCAGGTATGCTCCAAGTGCAACTGACTTCTGTCACTCAACTGAGCTCAAGTTTGCAGATTTTTCATACAACTTCTTTGTTGGGAAAATACCCAAGTGCTTGGACTATCTTCCTAGGTAACCTTTCAAGGTTTTCTTTGATCATGGACTCTATTCATTCCTTTACTTTTTTCTGATTATATTCATTACAGGTCAAGTTTTCGAGGGAACTGCCTTCAATACAATGATCCTAAACAGCGAACTGCAGCTCAATGTGGTAAGATTGACCTTGTTTCTTATTGTGTTTTTTCTTTAAAAAAATATATCTTCTTTCTTATTCTTTCGTATATTGGAAACATTGAATTGAATTATGACAACCAACCCATTAGAAGAGTGAGTGGAGAAGATAAGAAATGTCCCAATAATACTATGCCGCCGGTCAGGTAGCTGTCCTGAGAGATCAGTCATAAGCTAGTTTGGACATTCGTTGAGAGAGGTGGAGATTGGCAATTTGTAGGCTAAGAAATCTGACATCCATTAAAAGTTAATCCTAGCTATATTTATGCATACAAGTCTGTATAGATAGACAAATTGTAGGTTTCTAGTTGTTTCCTTAAGTGTGCGTTAACTGAATTTTGTAGACCCAATATTTTGAGCACCAAGAAGCTATGCAACTATTTCAGGCTTCAGATCCTGTTGATTCTAAGTTGTGACGACAATTCCTGTTGTAGGTGCTGGTGCTCCACCTGCTGAATTGCATCCAGGAGGCAGCCCAAAGCACATACCTGTTCAGCATGCTTCCATACACCAAAAAACTTCTAAACCTGCATGGCTCTTAACTCTCGAAGTCATCACCGGAATAACCACGGGTTCTCTATTCCTAATTGCTGTGATCACTTCTCTTCGAAGATGCAATGGAAAATCCTCGATCATCATTCCGTGGAAGAAATCCTCAAGTGGGAAGGACCATGTTACCCTTTACATCGGTTCGGCTTGCTCATAACCTTTAATTTCGTTGTGACGATGTAATTAGCTCTTTACTCGCCATATATGATGTTTGCTTAAGCTTCTGTGATTCATTGACAGACACTGAGATGCTCAAAGATGTACCAAGCATCAGCAGACAAGAGCTTGAAGTAGCTTGTGAAGATTTCAGTAACATTATTGGCTCCTCATCAGACAGTCTGGTGTACAAGGGCACCATGAAAGGTGGGCCCGAGATTGCTGTTATCTCAATATGCATTAAAGAAGAGAACTGGACAGACTATCTTGAACTCTATTTTCAGCGAGAGGTATGATCTTTTCAACAAACGAAGTTCCAAATTCCCCTGGAAGTAATCATTTTGGAAGAAGTTTGAACCATAAACTGAATAATTAAGTGCTTCTTTTTGTTCAATTTCCCTTCAGGTGGCAGATTTAGCAAGACTAAATCATGAGAATATAGGAAAGTTGCTAGGCTATTGTAAAGAAAGCAGTCCATTTACAAGGATGTTGGTTTTTGAATATGCATCAAATGGAACATTGTACGAGCACCTTCATTGTAAGTAGCGTTCCTTTTTCGAACTCCATTATCCGATTCGTTACTTCTTCAAGATAATTTGATTATTTTGGTGCCTGCAGATGGAGAAGGTTGTTTGTCTTGGACACGAAGAATGAATATAATTTTAGGCATTGCCCGCGGACTTAAGTACCTTCATAGTGAACTTCAACCACCGTTTACTATATCAGAGTTGAATTCTGGTGCTGTATATCTTACCGATGATTTCTCACCCAAGGTTCTGCCAGAGTACAGCTGCTGTAAATGTTTCTTTTTTAGTCCAATCGTACAAATGATCTCTTAATAAGAAGTTTCTTGGCTTCAACTGCAGCTAGTTGACTTTGAAAGTTGGAAGACCATTCTTTCAAGGTCAGAAAAGAACTCAGGATCCATTGGAAGCCAAGGCACCCAATGTATTCTTCCAAATTCTCTTGAAGCGCGCCATCTCGACATCGAAGGTAACATCTATTCATTTGGTATCCTTTTACTGGAAGTAGTCAGTGGGAGACCTCCATACTGTAAGGACAAAGAATGCTTGGTAGACTGGGTGAGAAACTCACACACCTTTGAGCTTTTTTTTATGGAACTTTATTGTTGCAATAACGCTGAACCACTGATTCTACAGGGGAGAAAAACTAACAACCTGTATTTTTACATCAGGCTAAGGAATACCTCGAATCACCGGATGTGATGTCTTGCTTGGTAGACCCAGAAGTGAAGCATTTTGCACATGAAGATTTGATGGCGATATGCGAGGTGGTAAATCTTTGCATTCATCCACAACCCGCGAAGCTGGTTTGTATGCAGGACTTATGCAACATGTTAGAGACCAGAATCGACACCTCGGTCTCAGTTGAGTTGAAGGCGTCTTCTCTTGCTTGGGCTGAACTTGCACTTTCTTCATAGATGATGTTCGAGCTAACACAGATGATCAGATATATATATATACATATACACAAATGTAATAGTTTTTCTTTTCTTAATTTGAGTTTCTTTCTGTGTTCTTGTAAATGCTTTGAGCGCCAGAGCAGATGAAATTCGTGCATAAATGCATCAAATGATACAGGAAGGAAGCCCCTAATCGTAAAATGTTTAAATTAAAGCATTAAGGAGGTCTCCTCACATTGTGCTTTATCGTAATTAATACAAATGAATGCGTTCATCTTCTGCTTAAGAATACTTTCTTTTTATACACTTTAACTATGTTTTAATAACTATGCATGTTTGATAATTCATTCAAAGCTCTCACATTCTCTATGATTCTCTCTTTAACATATTCTCTCTAACTCTCCCTTCTCTCTCCTACTTTTCTTTTCACTCTCTCTAACTTCTCTTTTCCTCTTTTCCTCTTTTTCACTCTACTGTTCCTCTCTAACTTTCCTGTCTAAAATTTTCCTAACATGTCTCTCTGATTGCTTTCTCTAATTTTCATCTCCACAACCTTTCTAAAATTTTCATCTCTCGACAGTCGGACAATAATGGGAAGGATTTGACCTTCATATATGAAATTAAGAGTTCTTGATCCATAATGTCCAAGAAAAAAGAAACGGGAATAGTTTATGATGTATAAATGAGTCTATTATTGAAACTGAGGGATGTTACAAGAACCACAGCGAGTTCTTAACTATTTATCAAAAGTAACACAGAATACTTACAGTGAAGCTTATCTTCACAGCTTTTCTACATGACATTTATTCAATTGCAAAAAGCTGATAGCAGCAAAAACTTCACATCTTTGAAGTCAGTTTCTCTGAGCGCTGCTTTTGAATGGTTGCCTTGAGTTTGTAAAGAACCTTATGAACCTCGTCGAAATGTGGGTTTGTAGCATTTTTGGTATTCTCGATCCACTCCCGCACTTTCTGGTGCGGACCCAGAATACGGTTATGATCCTTCTCATCCAAGACCTGTATCATTCAACATGCCCTTTAGTTGGAACCACTCAAAAACAAAAACTATGGAGAAGCATTTTAAGTGAAACATGATAAGGTGAGTTTGGGATGCCTATTTTTAAGTGAAACATAAGCATTTTCGTGAAGCATTTTAACTACTTTTTATCTGATTTGAATTTTTTAAAATTTTGATTATTGAAAATTTTAAAAGTACTTTTAATTGATTAAAAGCACTCTTTAAAATTTTAACTGAATACTACCGAATTTTAAAAGAACGCTCTTAGTCCTCTATAAGCACTTTAAAAGATATACCAAAGTTTTGAATCAACTTCTTTTTGATCTACTTGATGAAAAAGGAAGGAAAAGAACTAGAGCGCTGGCTCAGCTGTCTAATGCAAGTGCATCCCTCTGGTTTGTTTAATAATCTCTCCAGAAAACAATGATGATGTGAAGACCAAATGTAATTGGTTATTCTTGTGTGTATTCAAGTGATCTCAAAAAGCAATAAGAAGCATTTGTGCAGTGTGTACCTCGAGTTGCATAATTTCACAAACCAGGCTAAGATCAGCTATGGATGGTCTTAAGCCACCCAGCAAGAACTTCCCATTCCCCTTCAGCCAAAACGACTCTATTTTCGAAAGTGATTTGGATAAAATCACCTCCGCTTCAGCAGCTGCTTGAGGATCCAGAGTACGGCCAACCAAAGGTGCTAGAACAGTATGCAATACAAAAGGAGCTGAAAAAGATCAAGAACAAGGGTAGAAGAAGTCATTGCTCGTCTGAAAAGATGAAACCAGTGCCAGATTTCTCTCTTATCTATGTAAATATGAAACAAGTACTATGAGTTGGAATGCATTTAGAATTACCAGAAAGAAGGAACGTCTTTAGAGAGTAAAATACCTGCACCAGAACGTAAGTTAGAATGATGCCAATCCAGTACTGAGTTAATTTTAGCCCTCCTGAAAAGATCAGCTGGATACCTAGCAACATGAACAGAAATTCTGTTATAAGACCTGAACCTATCAAAAAATAAAATTGCTTAAGCTTACAAGTTACAATCATGGGTGATAAAGATATATACATAGACAGTGCAATGAATTTATAGTTATAACCCACAGATAACCATTCAAAGAAGATTATATTTGTTTCAATTTACTGCAATCGGCAATAACTCGGCAGTGCTGTAGAGAACTAAGTTGTTAGGTCCAACTAAGTACTAAACTCAATCCGGGTTCTTCTAAGCATAAGATCCAAACTCAAAGCAAGAAAAGAGCCATGGAACCAAATAATAACAAAAATCAGATCTATCAGTCCTTCCTTTTGCTGGTCACTAGAGTAGGAAAATAAAAACGTACGAAAAGAACATCCACTAAAATTTTGCATGCTATAGCAAAGTAAGTCTCTGACAAATTCTGAAGGAACCTGTATTAATAGACAGAGCTGCAAAACAATAGCGAGAAATGAGCAACCGCTTACCAATGATCTGCCACACCAGGAAACGCACAAGAAAGATAGATAAGAATAGCATGGCTGCCAAAAGAAAATGAAACCGTGCACATATTAAAAATAACAAAATAATTATATCAAAATTTGGGAAGCGTGCCTGTGGCTTACAATAGGAAAGTTGCAATAAATGCTGTGATAATCTAGATATAATTGTATGTGTCAATAAAGACAATGAAAAACTAAATTGGTTCACAAATGAAGAGGAACTACTTTTCAAAAATAAATAAATGAGTAGGAACTAAAAGCACAGTCTTTGATAGCAAAGCAAGTTTGAGAAGGGAAAAAATTACAGAAAATAAAATATACGGCTGCCATAATTGCAGAGATCTCTCTAACTACTGTCATACCAAACTATAGTGAAATGATAGGGAAAAGACATCTTAAAAGAAATTAATATATGCTTTATTAATTCAAATTTCATTGCAAATTTTCAAAAAATTGCAACTTGAAGAGATGAATGTCAACGTAGATTTTAAAAACAAAGGATCCACAAGTGCAAGCATAAATCTTGAAAATAATTTAGGTAAACGAGTAAGATGGACGAGTTGAACGCAAATTTTACTTAAATTCTGCAAGTTCAAAAGATAACAAGTTTTTGGTTCAGTCTATCATTTCCCGCGCTTCCCTTAAAAAGAAGGAATAAAGTTGCAAACAGGAGAAAATTCTCCTGGCTCTTGTGTGATCACAATATCTAGCAAAATATTCAAGATAAATCTTCGTTACCTCTCGAACAGCTTAAATCTTCCATCGACAATGACGGGAACCTTAGCCATTGGGTTGACCTCTACAAGCAAAAATCCGAAAGTCCATTAGAGATTGAAGACGTAGTTCAACAGAGGAAAAATAGAAGAAGTAATTCATGGAAAATTATGCTTCCGTTCTTCAACCAATCAGCAACGCTTAATCGTCACTCTACAAGTATTACATCCACAGACTTGACTGTTCTGTGTATTCGAATCCACAACGACGCTAAAATCAATTACATCCGTATATACTCATATGGGTGTGTCCGCCCAACCGTCTCCGTTGACCCACCTTTGAATTCGGGAGTAAATTGTTGGCGTTTGGCTAAGGCAACCAGCACCTCCTCAAAATCAATCCCATTAACCCTAAACGCCATTGAACGAACAGAAGTTTCAAACATCCCAGAAGCGGATGAAGTAGTCGCAATTCATAAAAGGTAAAAAGATTAAGAGGGCAAGCAAAATTCAAGGCAGAGGCAAGAGATTTACTTGCAGAAGATCAGCACGGCGCGAGATGGCTGTGACATTCGATCTGCATACACTTTAAGCGCCATTTTCGATTCCTCTCGCAAGCGCGCGCGCTGTGTGGCCGGCTTATCTGTTCGTCGGAGTTTAAAAGTGCAGGAATGTGGATGATCATACGATTGTGATTAAGACTTTCGGGGCGCGGGCGCGCTTCCCAATTGGATTGGATCGAGACGACGATGATGGACTTTCTCAGCGGTGTTTCGGTTACAAGTTGGGCTCAGAAGTGGATAGAGTTTGGTCCGATTCCAATTTATGCCCCAATTTTTTTTTTTTAATTTATCGATATGTGACCCATTATTTTATTTTCGTCCTTAATTGTTTTAAAATGTTTATAAATTCGTTTCATGCTGATCCTTAAAACTTTCTAATATTTTTGTTTAGACTTACGTTAGTCGCTAATGTTTGGAAGTTTAATCAAAATAATTTCCAATTTAATCATTTACCAATGATAAATGTTAATATTAGTTAAAGATAAATATATATGTCATAATATTTAGTGAATTAGAACAATTTTAGATGAGAAAAAACACCATCAATAAAAGAAAGGATAATTGTAATAGGTAGCAAAAATATTCTATGTATTTCAAAAAATGTTAACAACTTTTCAAAATTTCAAATATAGCAAAATATTTGAATTTTTATTTTCGGAATTTTTATTATTTCAATTTTACCCTTATGATATCTGATATATATCTGATGTATATCTATATCTGATATACATCCCATATATATTTATATATAATATACATCAAATTTATATATGATATACATCAAATCTATATTTAATGTACATCCAATGTAACTCTGATATACTTCCGATATACATTCGTATAAGATGTATCATGATATACATTATCAGATATATCACTGATATACATCAAATGTACGTATTATACATATAATATATATATATTTGATGTACTTCTAATTTATGATATACTAAATATATTTGCAACTGATATACTAAATATAAGGTATATCAAATGTTTAATTTTTAGTGGTATATCAGCTGTTTAAATTCTAGTTTATTATTTCAATTTGTTGACTAATATACTAATATATCAATAATGTTGATTATTATATCACTACTATTTATTCAATATTAATATTAATTAGATACTAAATATAAGGGATATCAACTGTTTAAATTTATAAAGTATATCAAAAATTTAACTTGCCTTTTTGGACGTGCATCGACCTTTTATATAATAACTTTATATTTCAAAAATAAAAAGTAAAAAATAAAAGATATTGCATCATTGTTTTCATCTGAAAAAAATATTGGATGTAATAGTATGATATCAACACACATATCATAGTTATATTAGTAGATATAATGGTTATATCAGAGGTATATAAGTGGTAAATTAGAAGCATATTAAGTATATATCAATGTTGTATTAGTGGTAAACCATATAATCATATAAGAAGTTATATACGTAGATACCATAGTTATATCAGTGGTATATTAGAGACATATCAAATATATATAACATATATATGTATTGTATCAGCGTGGTAAATCAATGATTATTATACGTACATCAATGGTAAGACATGTTAGAAGTTCATTAGATATTATAGTTTTTTATTTTTTGAAAATCAGTAGATATCATAGTTATATCAGAAGTAAATCAATTGTATATCATTATTATATCAGTGGTATATCAGAGATATATATCAGTGGTCAGATATATTACAGATATATATAAGATATATTAAAGGGTGAATTTGTAATTTTACAATTAAACCTCCGTTTTCTTGGAAAAAAATGTTATTTTTGAAAAAACTAAATGTAGTTGCTATTTTGCTTATTTTACTAAAATTTTTTGCCATATTTGCAAGTGCTCCTGAAAGAAAACTCAAAATTTCTATTGATTTTTCAGAAACTTGGTGGGTGAATTATAAAGTTTTCTCTATTATATGACACTTTTCTTTCTTTAAAATTTTGACCAATTCATTAAGTATTATGTTATATAGATCGGTCAATTTTAATATTTACCAATAATGAATTACTAAATTTAAAATTGTTAAAATATAAGGGATTAATTTTTTTTTCTTTTTAAAGTTCGAGCCTTGCTCAAACAGTCAAAGGTTAACTTGTTATATCTCCTTAAAGAATTTATGATAAACAATATAATTTTGAAAGGATAAAAAACTAACATAAAATATATTTATTTGTAAAAAAAACCCATAGAATAAACTTAAAAGTTTATTGGCCAAAATATAATATTAATTTAGTTTAAACTATATATAAATGTATTGTTTACTATATTTTTTACAAATTATATTAAACAAAATTTAGAAAAATTAGATTAAACGTAACTTACTTATAATTTTACTTTGGATTCTTTTAATACATTATCTCTTCCATAAGTTAAAATTATTTTATGATCATGGATGGAACTTCGTGCCTACTAAAAGATATTACAACTTGACTTTATTCAATTACTCTACAAAGTCAATTACTAACATAATATATGAATTAATCAATAAACAATGTGTTTTGAAAATAAAAATTATTTATGAATAAACATGGAGAAGTCAACTCTAACTTTTTTAAAAATCACCATATAATTTTTGAATTGAAACTATGAAAAGATATATATAGATTTACGACAACACGTGGAGGCATCTTAACCCACAAATTAGATTTTTGTAACCCATAATTAAGAAATGAAGCTTATATTTAGTATGTAAGATGTTTATTTAAAATTATAAGTTTACAAATTTAACTGAAACATATCTCAAAAATCATATATCTCCAGTCAAAATATTGTAAGTTCGAATTTTCACTATACTAAAAAAAGTTAACACATCTTATCGATCACATGAATTTAAGCTTACGAAATTCACTTTTGTTGCATAGGGTGAGAATTGAAGCATATGATTTTTTTTAAAGAAGTCGAAATTTTTTAAGTTTATCCTCTAAACCATACTCGATTAGCTAAACACTTTATACTTAATCTCTCACATAATATACTTTCTAATAACTATTGTATTTGTATACGTGTTTTTATTGAACTTACATTGATTCTCATTAACTCTATGGAGAACGATAAGACTCAAAAGTAAGAAGGACGTCAGTGAACAAAATTCAAATCAAGTTAGGGTCTAAAGTAGAGACCAAAGCATAAAAGATTTAGAAAAGTCAAATCAAGAGTACACACGCGTGTATACCTTTTGTTAATATTTGACACTCCTTAGATAATCTAGACCAAGATTGAATAGAGTTGCGCAATGTTAGAAGCTCGAAGATCATAATAATGGATAGACAAACCTTATTAATTGGATTCCAAGATTTACTAACTGTGGAGATGGATCAATATTTTTTCTTTTAATCGTATATATATCTTAACGATTTAAGTTATATTCAAATTAACTAGCTGAATTGTAACGAGACGTAGTCTTTGACGAGGAGAAGCTGGATCATCCTGGTTTCACATAGGTTTTTATATTCAAGCTGTCTAATTCTGACCATAAACAGCACAGTTTTCTGAACCTTCTACACACAAACCTAAGCTTAAAATTTGTAGATTTGGGATGCGACCCACATTTCAAATGTGTCTGGAAAAGTTGATTATGGGGAAAATGGAACAAGTTTGGAGTTGGACCAAGGTGAGAGATGGCATCAGGATGGTCCGAATTGGAGAGTTCACGGCCCTAGAGGTATCGCTCTCAACCATGCTTGGCTGAATGAAGGTTCCAGTTCCAAATTTTCCAAGTAACTGCTCCCATTTTTACCTACACTGCAACTGCACAACGCATTAAGTAAATATTAATCGTTGAGTAATCACTTCTTGGTAGACAAAACATTCCCAAAATGATAGAACCAAAAAAAGGAGTGATTTACATCTAATCACTTTCTGCTGAAATGGTTGTAGAATTAGAACACTCGAATTTGTTTCGAATAAAAATGCCAAATTCGGGGGTGGTCATGTCGGTGGGTTAAAGGGAGGATGGTGGACCAAACCCACACAGGGTTACAGGCTTACAGCGAGCAATGAAGAAAGCGATTGTCGAAAAAGATTCGGGAAAGAATATCTATAAATTATTTAATTTTTACATTTTCTATTTTTATTTTATCCCTCTAATCCGAATCTCAAAGCTGTCAAATTTCCCCTTGATTGAGAGAGAGAGAGAGAGGGGGGGAGCTGTAGATGCACGTTAAGATCTCGGGCGACCCTTCCTTTAGTTCGAATTCTCAGTCTTTGCATACAAAGTAAGCTTGAGAGGGGAGACTTGCAAGTCTTCTGACTTTCATCTCTCTATTTTTCGAATGATTCAAGGGTGAGGAATTGTTTAGCTTGATTCTCTTTTGACTGGGCACTTTTTTTTTATAGCGTTGTCTTTCTTTTTGGGGCTGCTTAGTTTTCGCGTCAAGTTCTTTTACTTTTTTGTGAACTTTGATTTGTTCAAGTGGCTTATTGGGTAGGCTAAAGCACGCACGTACTCTTGCTTCTCCTCATGCTATATCATCCAGTAGTCTCAACTTCATTTTGATGCAAAAATGAGATAAAAAGGGAAAGTGCTTTTTTTGGGGTTGTTGTCAAGTTAACCCAGATGAGAATTTTTGCTCATCTTTGCTTTTTTTGGGTTCAAATGCTGGAATGTGTCGAATACAGCTTATCCCGATCCACTTTTTGATCATTCTATTACTCCAGTATATTGTTGGTATGAGAATCTTGTTTCTCAGCAAAGGTTTAAATTGTCTTACTGTGACAGTCTCTATCTATCTCTGGGATTCATTAATTGCATCCGTCTTTCTTACCAATATTTCATATATCATTCTGGCATATTTACAGTTTATACTTTATAGGACCTCAATTAGCCTTCTGGTTAAGTTTTCAACATACCTATTACTATGTTCGAGCTGATTTGAGCTTTGTCATGGATATCTTAATTGTTACCTTAAAATAAATAATTCTTTGTATATTATGTGTGATAGTTATCCTTTGGTGGAAGGACGAATTTGGATTGGAATGGGAAGCTGGATGGAGGTTTCCAACTGTGCTCGATTCTGTTGATTAGAGAATTTTGGTGTGTTCGAGCAGGATGGGTTGTGGGTGTTCAAAATTCTCTGGGTGCTGTTGGACTTTAGATCATAACAAACCTGTTCCTGATATCCAGGATGTTGGTAAGTGAAATTTGCTGCTCTGGTTGGATGTGTATGTGCGACCACATTTCAGAAAGCAATTTCTATATTAGAACTTTTGCTGTTGCAGAAAATGAATGGAATAGTGATCTTGACATACCTGCATTTCGCGAATTCACCATTGACCAACTAAGGATAGCTACATCTGGATTTGCTGTTGAGAACATAGTTTCAGAACATGGGGAAAAGGCTCCAAATGTTGTTTATAAGGGGAAGCTTGAGAATCAAAAACGGATTGCTGTCAAACGGTTCAACAGATCAGCTTGGCCAGATGCTAGGCAATTTCTGGTAAACTTATATTTAGGAATATTAGTACCAGCATGGCAAACTGTTATATCTTTCATTCTGATTACATGCAAAAACATGCTATAGTCTTGATTAGGTTTTCTGTAAATTGTAAATGGCACAAATAAATGCTAGATTAATTCAATACTAAGAGTTAAAATGAGAATGCAAGATTAAGTTTTATAACAATGTGTTAGAAGTGTGTAAATAATTTAATCTATTAAGGATGTTCTATACATTTCATCCTATGATTTGACAGATCTGAAGGATACTGGATCTGGTTGTATAACATCTGTGTTCTTGAGTTATAATAATATTGGATAACCTGATTTAGATAGATGCTTACTAAATAAGGAATTTTTATTTCGTATTTTGAGACCCATGTATTTAGCCTTTTATTTTCTCTAATGGTAACTCTTTTATACTCTTTCAAATGTTACTTCCTTCGATTTCAGGAAGAAGCTAAGAATGTAGGTCAGCTCCGAAATCTTAGATTGGCAAATTTGCTAGGTTGTTGCTGTGAAGGTGACRAGAGGTTACTAATTGCAGAATATATGCCAAATGAGACATTGGCAAAACACTTGTTTCATTGTAAGTTTAGTAGAATCACTTATACTCTGGTCTCTTTGAGTTGCTTTTCCTTTCTATGATACTCTGCATTTATTTGCTTTTCCAGCATGGAACTGGGTTGCATGTTAATTAACACAAGTTGTAAATTCCCATGGTTAAAGGTTGTGAATGCGAACGAATTCATTTTTGCCTTTTCCTCTGTCATCCTTCATTCCTATTATTTTGTTTTTAGTATTCTTTGTTGGTCTTTGGGCCAATCCCCAAAATGGAGTGCTGCTGCTTTATAACCATTCTTGGTAGAACTTAGAAGTAAGGTTGTGACATTCTCACAGAATTTCTACACCCTAAAGTGCTGAAAGACTTAACATCTGATAATGTCAAAAGACATGGCTTTATTTCTTATTTGCTTTCCATATATCTCCTTCCTCTCCTGTTGTATTATCATATAGCAGGTCACTATTTTATAGTGAAGTTTAATAGGGTACTTACTCAGGGGATTCTCAACCTCTGAAGTGGAGCATGCGGTTAAGAGTGGCCTTATATATTGCACAAGCTTTGGAGTATTGTACAAGTAAAGGGCGTGCCCTATATCATGATCTCAATGCCTATAGAGTTGTTTTTGATGATGTGAGCATCTTTAAGTTGTACAAACTTTTGTCTTCCCCTTATTTTTCTGAGGTGACGTACCTGGTGGTTTTGTGTAAAATGTTCACATCTTCTCTCAGGATGGAAACCCTAGACTTTCATGCTTTGGTATGATGAAAAACAGCAGAGATGGTAAAAGCTACAGTACAAATTTGGCATTTTGTCCTCCTGAGTATCTCAAAACAGGTGCACCCATTAAACACTATTCATTAGGCCAGATTATTATTGCTCAACTGATCTGAAGCATTCATGTGTGATAAATAAGATGGGTGCCCATACCTCTAAATTACCTATACTCTGTAAAGATGCCAATGGAGGTATGTTTATGTTGTCACTTTGAACATGGGCATGGTAGTTAAGCGTATGTAGTTCTGTCAGCATGGAACTTTTTTCTTCAGTGAAATCATATTTTATTAAAGATACCTCTCGTGTATGCTTGGTCTTTTATGAAAAGGTATATCAGCCCTCTGATTTTGAAGTCCTGTTTCATTTTATTCCAATTTCAACATCTATGCAAGAAAATTTGTCTCAACTCTCTACTCTTGGTTTCCATAGTTACTCCTATGCATAGTGTGATAGATTGAAAATCATCATCTCATTTTATCGTAGGAAGAGTTACTCCAGAAAGTGTTATGTACAGCTTTGGCACTCTATTGCTTGACCTCCTCAGTGGAAAACATATTCCACCGAGTCACGTAAGTCTTATTTCTTATCAAACTCTTTAATCATGCTATGAAATTATTGAAGTCTGTTCATTGATTCCTTCCCTCTCTCTTTTGCAATACTAGTAGCAACTCTTTAAATATATCAAAGAAACTCAAAGACACGTACGTGCATTCATCCATTATATTTGTATATAGAATAAAAGGTGCATATTAGAGAAATCGAATAATAAGCTGCACTATTGAATCAGGTACTGTACCAAAAAATTTCTCTGCTAATGTTCTGTTCTATAACTTTTAGGCTCTTGACCTAATAAGGGACAGAAATCTTCAAATGCTGACAGATTCTTGTTTGGAAGGACAATTTTCAAATGATGAGGGGACTGAATTAGTGCGATTAGCTTCTCGTTGTTTGCAGTATGAGCCTCGAGAGCGTCCTAATCCAAAATCATTAGTTTCTTCTTTAACTCCTCTTCAGACGGAAGCTGAGGTATATTTTTATTTTTCTTGCCATTTCAGTAGTGAAGATTTATAGTTTTTTATGCTCCGGTGCAGTAGCAACGTCTTTTATATTATTCAATTCATAGCTTGCTAGAGAAGAGACATCCTCCAATACTGGTTTCTTATCTTTATTTGTTCTGCAGGTTCCCTCTCATGAATTATTGGGCGTAGCACATAGTGCTTCAGATTTACCTCTTACACCACTTGGTGAAGCTTGCTTAAGAATGGATTTGACTGTCATTCACGAGATTTTGGAGAAGCTTAACTACAAAGATGATGAGGGTTCAGCAACTGAGGTCGGTTCTGTACATATCATATCCGTGGGACATTTATTCACAATCACTCAAATGATATTTGCTTGTTGTTCTTGTAATCACATAATTGAACTTCTCATTGTGAAATCTATGACATATGAGGTCTTCTCGGACAACTTTGAAGTCCACTTCATTTGGAGTTTTGTAATGAACTTCCCACGTTTGACTGCATACATAAAATAGTCTCTCATACGATAAAGCTATAAACTTTAATTACTGTACTGTATCTTTAATTATGGAAATTAGAGGTACCATTTCCCTGAGTCTTAGGTTCCTGCGGCTAATTTTGATTGTGGCTTGGACGCAGCTATCTTTCCAGATGTGGACCAATCAGATGCAGGAAACATTGAGTTCAAAGAAAAATGGAGATCTTGCTTTTCGGCATAAGGACTTCAGAGCGGCAATCGATTGCTATACGCAGGTCTGAAATGTTTTATTTCTGCTTGGAATTTTTTGTTTACCATACATGTAGCTGGAAATTCATTCCTATGGTTTTAAGACTTTCAAAAAAGGGGCTTCAGTTTGGTAGAAGTGCTGTAAAAAAGGAGAATATAGGATAACAAGGAGATAGAAGGGGGGTAGAAATTAGTGTTCTATGGGCAAATGAAATACTAGAACTGGTTCAAACAGCTGATTGTTATCCATAGAGGCCACAAAGTGCCCAAATCAACTAAGCAACTGAAGGAAAATCCTGAGTTAAGTTTAAAGTTATAATTCCCAGTTTGCAAATTACACCTTTGGGTTTGCCTATTTTGTAAAGTACACACCCCCTGTGTTTTAGAAATGGTTTCTAACACCCTTGTAATTTTCGAAACATGTAAGTTATACCCCTTTTACCCACTAGTTTTGATGAACTAATATGCATGATACACGTAGAATATGTTACATGTACCAATTCAGCAGAGAAAAAAAGGTAGAATTTAACAAAAGATTGATTCTAGTCCTTTGCAAACCATTGGAGTCTTTGAAACCATTTTGAAAACACATGGTTTAATTTGTAATTATCCTCATATTGGAGGGAAAATTTTGATGGTATTTATATTTTCATAAGCAATTGCTAATGATTATGTGTCATACAAATCAGGAAGAGTAGAAACTTTTGGGAACATCTTCTTGCCTATTGTCCATATCTTTGTTCACTTCAGACTAAAAAAAGTGTGAGAAGATTGTCAATGTGGGAATGAATGTTCTCATTTTGGAAGTCTTGGCACATCCAGATAACCTCTGTTTGTTCACTTGCAGTTCATCGCTGCTGGAGCCGTGCTTTCCCCGACAATTTTTGCACGTCGTAGTTTGTCATATCTTGCATGTGAGATGCCGCAAGAAGCCCTAAATGATGCTGTTCAAGCTCAAGTAATATCACCTATCTGGCATATTGCATCTTATCTGCAAGCTGCTGCATTTGTTGCACTTGGTAGCGACAATGAGGCACAAGCAGCACTTAGAGAGGGGTCTGTGCTTGAAACCAAAGATAAAACAACTGCCAAATAAGTAAATGATGACCTATTTATATGTCTAGTTAATTAATATTGCAGAAGTTAAGCTTTAACTGCAGAAACAGGCATGCCTAAAGTTGATCAAACTGATCCTTCAGTCGTGGCAGAAACCGACTGGCTCGTGGTCTATTCAGATATCTGATACATGGCAAAAGAAACTTGGGGGCTTTGAGATTAATTTGATTCTGTAAAGGAGTCTCAACTGTTAAATTTATAGGGAGGGGAGGATGGAAGTATGCTTGTAATTTCTGTACAGTACTGTTAGCTTATGTAGGCAAAGCTGTGTCATATTTCTGTGTTAGGCTATTATGTTTGTTTGATTTTCTGATGAATGGGCAAATATCTTTCTTTTGTCAACAGTCAACACTATTTGTTCAATATTCAACTCTCTTTAGACTATCGTTTATATTCAAATTAATCCTGTTAAAACTTTTTGGTAACTTGGAGATTGTAGTGAAGAATGGGGAGAGTAGGATAACAAACTGAAGAATGTAGAATAATATCATAAATCCATATCATGTTTAATGGCCTTCCTTCTTCATGTTGTCTCTCAGAAAAACCGACATCATGTTTCAGAACTCATCTTAATATGATTTTTAACCATTCAAATATTTGGAGGTTCTGAAAGGAAATCATGTTAAAGAGGCAGAAGAGGAAACATTGGCTTACAGACAGACAGATGTAGAAAAATACGTACATATTGATATATCATTAAGTTGGTCCAATGCAGACCACTTCTGTTTTTTTTTCCTTTTTTGTTGTAAATATTTCCCACCCTTTTTATACACAGATGACTAACTATTTAACGTTAAGAATCATAACAATAAATTATGTACATTTAACCATGGTCACCAGAAAATATCATCAACTGCTGTCATGGTTGATGCAGACGGTTCGTCATCTTCCTCTAACTCCATCTCCAACTCTGGCTCAGAGCCAAATTCAGAGGACTCGATAGCAGCAAGATTCTTCAAATCGACAACCGTTAGCTCGTCGAGGTGTCTCACGACCAAGTCTGCAGCCCCAAGTTCGTAAACAGGATGCTTGCTTGCAACTGCCACACACTTCATCCGAGCATCATGGGCAGCCTCAACAGTCTGGTTTGAATTTCCAAACACAATGCACCTCTCAGGAATGAAGTTCAAGAGCTGTGCTGCATAAATGAACATTTCTGGATCAGGCTTCCCCCTATGAACATCCTCTGCAGCTATAATCACGTTGAAATCGCCATCAATGCCGATCGTTCCCATGGCTGACTCCAGAGTCTTTCTAGGCCGCGTTGAAACCAGAGCCATGGGAATTTTGTAATGCATCAAGACGTTCACAAACTCTTTGGACCCTGCTCTTAGTCTGTAAACTCCCCCTTGTAATGCCTGATAGATTTCTTCCTTTCTAGCAGCCATTCTTCTCAACTGAGCAGGATCTCTCGACCAGCAGAGGACCTCAGAAATGGCCTGTTCATTCTTCATCCCCTCTATTCTTCTGAGGATAAAGGCTGGGGGAGGGGATTTTCCTTCTTCCTGAGAAAGAGCTAGCCAGGCCTGCTTCTCAATTTCAGGATTGTCCTCAATCAGCACACCCTCCCATTCAAATATGGCGCCCAACCACCCACAGCCCATTCTTTCTTGTCGAAGCAATGGATTCTGTAATGAAGGATTGTCTGCTTTGTTTTCTGGAGGCCATAGACCCGGCTTTCGATCATAACCAGCATCAATATCATAATTCCAATCCTTTGGTATTCTGTCCTCTCTGAATGAATATGCCTCTTTTGTCACCTCCAATGATAAGGCCTTAATTGACAAAAGTGCTAATCGGTCCACTTTCATACTAGAACCCGTGGGAGACGAAATCAGCTTCTTCCCGACAAATTTTGATGTCGGAAACCAGCTGTTCTTCCTCTTGTAGGACACGTCCTTAACCAAAGTTCCCCCACATAGTAGCTGATGGCCAAAAACAGAAGCTGCTGCAATCGACTGAACCATTTTGATTTTATTACCAGTTGACCGAGCTTCAACTCAACTACAATTTGGACAATTTGGAGCTTCTGGCTATGAAATTACGGCCAAACTCGACCAAATTTACACTAAAGAAAACCTACGCACCTGAATTCTTGGCAGTTAAAATCAACGTATCTAGGAAGCAACTTCAATTGAATCATCCAACTTTCAGATAAAATGCCCAGATCCCGAAGTGTCCTGTTCGACAGAAAGGGGAAAGAACAACAAAGCTTCTCGAAACAAAATTCAATCCTTCCTCACAAAACTACCCTTTACGGCCAAAAAAGAAAAAACAAAGCAGAATCCACGAAACCCACTATTTCAAAAGGCCATATGAACAGGGGATGCGAAACAATCGAAAAGGGTTGGTGCAAATCCCAAACAAATCGCAGCCCTTTATCGGTACAAATCAACCGAACATCACAACAACGAAACCCAACTGGAAGGGGGAAAAAAACGAAAAAGTTAGGAAGGAGAAATACGATTAGAAGTAGTTTACAGAGAAGGAAGGGAAGAAGCAATTACCAAGCTGAATCAGGAATTGGATTGGATGGGGAAGACGATAAGGAGAGAGAGATAATATTCGGAAACACGAAAGGGGAAAGAATCTCTCTCCGGAAGGGGATTTTACTGGAAGAAGAAGGAAGAATTTTGTGGTTTATATTCAGAATAGAGGGTAAGGAAAGAGAGAACAACACGGTGGCCACCTTCGTGAGGAGACTGGTAGCGCACGCCGACCACAGCAACCGGCTGGAACGCCGCGTGTCGGTCACCTTTCGTTTTTTCTAGGTTCCTATCGTTGCTTTTTCAATTCGGATTTACCCCTGATGTTGCGTATTATTACCAAACCGCCACTGCCTTCTAGATAAGATTAATTTCCGCATTATTATCGCCAAATCTCCGGTTTAAATGAGTATTTCTCAAGTATGATTAATCGGCAAATTATCAATTCAGTTTTACATTTGTTGATGCCGAAATTGAGAGGCGTCGATACAAGCAGGTCAACTGTAATTGGTATGTTCTTCTCCCCTCAAATTTGGAGATTCGATTTTCTATATCCTCAAATTATTATACTAAAAGAAATTCAAAAAGGAACATATGTCCTTCGAAATGGGTGGTCGTCAGACAAATAAACCTGTATCGGAGAAATTTTTTTTCACTTACTCTATAGTTGTGGTGGTTCTTCCATTTTATAGGTGCTAATGGCCGAAGGACTTCATTTTGTACAGTACATGGCATGGCAATGCTCGTCGTTGTACAATATTCGGACAGACGGTTTGGGGATATTCCTGGAGCGTGGTAATCGTACCATCGCCTACCACCCTGCCCCTCTTGCATGCTGTCTCTTCTACCACATTGCAAATGCCTATGCCGCATCCTCCCACAATCTTATGCCTTATGCACACCGTGGTCTCCACAACCAACTATCACCCTTCTCGTTGACATACTGCTTGCTTGGCTCTCACCCTCAATAAATTTTTATTTCTTTTATAATTTTAAAAGTTTTAGTTTAGTTTTTATAATTTGAGTTTTATTTCAACCGTGTCTCTTGATTTCTAGCGTTTTTATTTAGTTCATATGATTTGATTTAACCTCACAAATCATACTTGTTTGTCATTACATATCGTTGAATGGTCAGGAATATTTGATTTATATTCAGTTGATTAGGTAATTGTTTAGCAAAAAAGAAAAGGTAAAAGTAAAAAGGATTGTGATATTTTGTGATGTTTAAGCAAATTATAAGATAAGGATTAGATTGGAACTTTCAAAATTATTGGGATGAAGTTGAAATTAAACTCAATTATGGGAATCATATTCATAATTTAATCATAAATAATCTTTTAATAATTTAAGTTGCAATGTCCCAGAAAGCCGGACAAAATAAAAGTCATTAAAACTGAAAAGAGGCAAGCAAGACTTCAAAGCTATATTTAAATAAAAAATATGGATGGTTGCCCTTTTAACACTTTAAATATCATATCTTCAACTTGGTTGTTAGCAGAAGCTTCTCACATAGATAATAAAAATAAATAAAAGGGAGGTTGAAGAGAGTATTATACTTCAAATAAAACGCTGAAGACTTGAAACTATAGCATCATAGATTTTACTAATACCTTCATTTCATAGCCATATTCAAAGGTTTTTTTTTCTGATTTTTTTATATTTTAAAATTAGGTGTTAGATATACATTATTGAATTCAATTTATCATAACCCATCTGCTTAAATTTTAGGTTTGTTGGTAACTTATTCATGTTTAAGATGATATCAGATTAGGAGTTCATATATTCAATCCTATGTTGTTCTTTACACTGTTGTTGTTTCCTCTACAAGTGAAGGGGGAATGTTCCATACACATAAATGAATTAAATTTATTATAACTCATCAACTTAATCTCTTGGGTTTACGGGAGATTTAGTGATGTGAGCATTTTATTTTCTATTGTTTTTCGTCTATTTTGGTTAACGTACTTTTAAAAAAATCATCATTTTAGTCACTTCATTTTAATTTCTATCTCATTTTTTCAGACATAGAATTATATCAAGAGCTTCTCATTACATATAAAATTTATATTAAAATTTTATAAAAAACATTATAATTATAGGTTTACTTCACCACCCTTCCTCGCTCGAGCCTTCAAAGATCAAAATAGTCTTTTAAAAACATGGAATAACTAGAATGAACCTTTTAAAATTACATGGACTAAAATTACATCGACTTAAAAATAGCCGAACTAAAATAAATATTTTGAAAAACATGAATTAGAAGTTAAAGTAAATGAACAAACTTTGACGTGTTTTAACTTGAAGTTTGTTAAAAGAAAAAAAAAAGAATTGAATTAAAAGTTTAAAACACGAGATAAATAGAATAAATAGGAGAGAAGTGGTAATCCATGGGGCCCACTATTACAAGTTGTATTAACCCCTCAAGAAACAGGTAGCGTGGAAGTTTCAAAGTCATTGATTGATTTTACAAAACATCGTTATCACAAAAATCTCCACAATTTGACACTACATTTACAATCACAACACGAGTACAAAATTGAAAATCCTACTCTCTGCTCTCTCTACAAATATGAGACATATGGACTTTGTCAAATTAAAATTCAATTCTCCTGCTTCATACGTCAAATTTTGGTTCATTTTAGTTTCTGTAACATCTTGTATTTTCAAATTATATTAATTTTAGTTATTGTACTTTTAAAATATCTATTTCGATTTATGTACTTTTAAAGAGTGATTTTTTTTTCTTTTGCAAACATGAGCATAATTCAACGGTAAATGACATGTACTCAAAGAAAAAAAAAGTAACTATTTTTTAACCGACGTTTACAAAAGTTAGGTACAAGTTCTTTACACATTAGAAACTTTTTAATACAATATTATGACTATATTTAAAGAAACCTATTGAGTGTGATAGATATCGTGTGAAATTTTCATCGAAGAAAATGAGATAGAAAATCAAACGAATGTATCTAAATGATCATCTTTTAAAAGTGTTAGAATGAAAATTAATGCCTCAAAATACAATTATAGAAATAGACTAAAGCTAAATACAAAAATCACAATAGATATTTTGATTTTTAGAGATTAAACACTAAAATAGTTGTTTAAACCTTTTTATATAACATCCCTATCATTGATATAAATTTGGCAAAAAAAAAAAAGTCAAATTATAATTTAAGTCAAACAATTATTTTGTTTTTGTGCTGTTTTAGTTCTTGAATTTTAGAAATGTTAAATTATTTAAGTTCAAATAAGTCAATTTTGTTAACATAGTAAAGGTTATTTATTTGGATGGTATTTGTGTGGTTATTTCGTTGTTGTATAATAAATTAGAAAATAAGTGCATCTCCCAAATTTAATTAGCACAACTAACTTCGAAACTCTCTCTTACATTAGAGGAGCACACGGTGTTTACTACTTCATGAATACAATAGTTTTTTACTCTTTGGTACAAAGAATAGTTCATCAATTGAAGTGATTCATGTCAAACCGAACATAGCTCAAGTGATTAAAACATATATCTCTTATCTAAATTGAAAGATACTATAAAAGAAAATCGATGAGGCCGTAAAAAGATAATAGTAATTCTTATAGATATTTTAGATAAGTAAATTTAGAAAAATGACTGGCATATTTTTATAATTGTTGGTTACAATTGTAATATTCGAGTATAAGTTCGTAGAGCATATTTATTAAAATGATCTTGTTAACTTCAAAATTACTTTTATGAATTCTTTGAATTACTTTCGTAAATTAATATAAAGTTTTCCAACAAAATTTTTGGATCTACCGCGGGGTCTATATACAAATTAATATGATAGGACGAATACACTAGACTAAGTAGGAGAAAATATTATGAGATGGGCGTGATAAAACAAAACACTATCCCAATTAATTTTATTGGTTATGTTTTTTAGTATTGTCTACCTTTGTTTTGATCAATATTACTATTTAAGTTCAGTATTTGTTTCAACGAAACTATATATATATAATTTGGTGAATAACATGTAGGAGTCAAAATTCGAATTCACGACCTTTTAATTAAAGGTAGATGCTCAAACCAGTTGAACCTAGCTCAAACTTGAAAAAAAAAATTAAAATTTGACTAGGTTGGAAGAAAAAAAAGTTAACATACAAATTTACCCTCAATGGTTTTACAAGGTTCAAGTTGGTTTTACGCACGTGTTTGGTTAAATTTCACAAAACATAGTAACATAGTTTTTACTTTTTTTTTTATCCTGATAATATGGAATTGAAGTTGTTGAACATAGAAAATATAAAGTATTGTTGGTATTTAAGTTCACTCGAAGATTCGAGGTATAAATTTGATTGAACTGATGACTTTTTAGTTGGAGATGTATGACTTGATCAATTGAATTATGCTTAAATTGACTTTTAAAATTATGCAATCGAATTAAATTCATCGTACGAAAAATATCACACATTCAATATAATAACAAAAAAGACCATTTGTAAAATTAGACCACAATATAGGAATTAAATTAAAACTTTTAAAATGACGGAATTTTTTTTTTCAACTAAGCTCAAACGATTTCCATCAATTTGATAACTTAAAATAAAGAAAATAAAGTCTTATCAGATAAGATTTTGTTTATAATTTTAATATTTAAAAATTAAGCTTATTCATTTACAATTTGCTTTGTTTCGGGGAAAAAACAATGTTTACCTTAAACTTGGTTAGATGTATAACTTGTTACCTAAATTTTCAATTTCATAAAAAAGTGGAAGACTTAGATAAATTTTGGAAAACTCTACTTTTGATTAATTTTACATGTTCATCCATTAAATTCAATGAATATCAATTTCTATTCAAAATTAAATCGATCATCAAATAATGTCAAATTAAGCATAATTCAATAGTAATTGACACCTACCTCTAATCAAGAGGTTGTGTCTTCGAAATCCCTCCTCACAAAAAAATCAATCAAAATTTAAAATTTAGGGTAAAATAAAATTTAGGCATATATTGAAATTTTATTTTATTTTTATATTTATAAAAAACACATTTGAAATCTTAACTTAAAAAATAAGATTAAGATTTTTTTTAATACGACATATAGGGGTGGTAGATCGAACTAACGACTTCTGAATTCGAGATGCATGTCAGTTGAGCGCATGAGATTAAGAAATTAAATGGGCTAAATTTCAAAATTTGAGTAATATTATAAAAAATAGATTAGATTCTTAAACAAAACCCTAAAAAGAACAACTAGAAAATGAAGAATAAAATCTCAATACTATTAGTATACGTTTTATTTTGATCCAGCAGAGCAAAGCTGTGCGTTTTGCTCTGTCATCGCCGTTTCCGACTTTCACATTGCGCGCTCTACGCCGGCCGCCGACTCTCACTGCTTTTCTTCCCCGCGCCGGTCGCTCCTTTTTCTCTCTCTCTCTGTTTATTTTTGTCGAGGAATGTTGCAAACTTTTCAGTAGATTTAGCTGAATTTCTATTCGCGACATGGCGAAGAAGAACAGGGGAAAGAAGAAAATAGGAGCATCTAACTCCACACCCGGTCGTCCTCAAGATTCGATCACCCTCAGACAGGAAAAGACTGGAAAAATCCAGCCCAAACCCTACAACAATGTCAAAATTTATTTGAGCCACTTGGAAAACCTAGCGACTTGGGCCAGTGGGCAGGCCTCTATACCTTCATTGGCTGCTTTCTTCGGGCGGCGCTTTGCCGCTGCTGCGGATTCTTCAGGTGTCGTTCCCGACGCCTCTCTATTTCTTTGCCAGAGGTCCGTTCGTCTTCTGCCCTTCACTTATTCTTGTGATTTTAAATGCGTTTTTCTAGTTTAAGCTCACTTGCCAGTTTTAATGTTTGTAGAGGGGTAGGTTCATGATGGTTGATTGTATTTGAGGGTAGAAGTTCGTATTTAGCTTTTCTGATTAGTGCTAAGTGACATTAATCTGATGTTAGAAACATTTAAATATGAATAATGGGCGCTTCTTATTGGGCATTATGATGTTTTGATGCAAAATAATGAGAATGAAGGGATAAGGTAATGTACTTGGAAAATTCTATCTGCTAGAGTTTATGCAAGTGTTAAGTCTTTCTGTGCTACCGGCGAGAGCTTAAGTGTAGAATTAGTATGCAGGAGATACCATCTAGCATTCATTTGACAGAAAAAAAATCATGCGAGGGCGTGGAACACCATATATTTTCTCTACTTGAGAGAGTATTAGGTTTTAGATTTTCATAATTTTTTTCCTGTATTTTGTAGCAGGGTTGGGGTGTAAGCTTGTGTGTTGTCCTTGTCTTATTTGGGCATGCCCTTGGGAGATAATCAGATAACCAAAGAGGCTAAAGTTCTGGAAACCTGTGAAGGGAAAAGTCTTACAAAGCTTGATAAATGGAGGAACTTATCCAACAGTGGAAGATTGACTTTGTGAGACGCAGTCCTAGTAAAATTACCTTCCTACTTTATGTGCATCTTTTTTATGCTGAGGAAAATTGTAGCTTTAATGGAGAGGAAAATGAGGAACTTTCTTTGGTAAGGTTCTTTAGAGGGAAAGCGTAGCTTAGCCATCTAGTTCATTGGAAGGGGGTATCCTTGCCCTTGGAAAATGGAGGGTTGGAATTGGGAACTTGAGGCAAAGGAATAAAGCCCAAATGGCAAAGTTGGTTGGGCGTTTCTTTAGAAGGAAAGTCGGTTTGGTGCATGGTATGGTAATTTTTTAAAAAAAATAGTGCATGGTATCTATGAGTAAAAGGAGAGAGATGCAAAGGAGGAAAAGGAGTGGAGGCACGGTAGAAGTCCTCGGTGGAACATTACTAAGTTGAAGGGTATTGATTCTCACTTTCCGGTCAAAGTTGGAGATGGAAAGAAGACTAAATTTTGGGAGGATGTGTGGGTGGATAATCAATCCTTAAGTATGAATTTTCATTTTTCCTAATTTAATGCAATGGTGGAATCCGAGTTTTGAACAATCAATAAACTTTGGATGAGCAATAAAAGAGTTGGAATATAATGCGAGGAGGAATTTGTCGGATGAAGAATTTGGAGAGTTCAAGTTCAATGCTATTTTTGAGGCTGCTAGAAAACAGACAAGTGGGTGCAGGAGTGGATGAAAGAAGCTGGAATTTGTGTAGCTCTGGCGATCTCAGTCAAATGACTCAAATCTTTGGTTTTTTAGCCTGATTGATTTTGGGAGAGCTGTAGAAAGAGAGCTTCCAACCATGGTGTGGAAAAGAATGTGTGTCAAAAAGATCAAAACGTTTGAGTGAATAGCCTGCCTTAGTCGACTCAACACAGTAGAGAGGTTACGACGAAAATCGCCTACGATGGTCTTGAATTGGTGCTTGTTTTCCTTGGAAGAGTATGAAGGAATCGACCACCTTTTCTTCCATTCCTCTTTTGGCAAGAGATGATGGAAGTTGGAACTCATTACTACAAAATTTCGGTGACTTTTGGGCTTTTCATTGATCTTTGAAGGTCGACATATTCCTTCTACTATGTGGTTACTCTCTTAAGGACAAAGGTAAAACTAGGAAACTATGGTCAATGCAATGAAATCTGTTCTTTGGAGCTTGTGGTTGGGAAGAGACAATCAAGTGCTTAACGGCAAGGGCAAGGCAAAATACTGGATTGAAGTGGGTCTAACTAACAACTATATTCCCCTTGTAAAATGCCTTTTCATGTTAAGTATTGCTCAGGTCATCAGACTTTGCGTTTGCCTGCTTTGATTTTTTTCTTCCCACCTTTCTTCGAAAAAAATCTCAAAATTTGTACATGCCTTATGTGATAATGAAAATGACATTAGTTTAGATGCCTGTTTTGAGGACTTCTATCATATCCTGTTTAAATTTTATATTGGCATCTTGCTTGGATCTTCATTGGCTTCAAAACTAGCTGCTTACTTGCCATCATATTGGTTTCAGGTGTGAAACAATTCTCCAACCTGGCTCTAACTGCTCCATACGAATTGAAAAGAATAAAGCAAAGAGACGTCGGAAGCACAACAAATGCAGTAACTTGACACAGAACAATTTGGTGTATTATTGCCACTACTGCTCATGTAGGAACATAAAGAGAGGGACTCCCAAAGGCCATATGAAAGTGCGTTATGCACAAAAATCCAAAGCAGTTGAAGAATCAGAGCCTATAGAATCTAAAAGCAAGGTGAAAGTTTTGAATGTCAGGCGTGGTAAAGAATGTGAGGCAACTGCAGTGCAGATGACAACAGAGATCCTTACTATTGATGCTCCTATGATTCCTTCTCCAACAACTAGAGAGATTGGTACTATTGATGCTCCCATAGCTCCTCCTACAACTGGGGATACTCTTGTCGTTGGTGCTTCTGCAATTCTGCCTCCTAGAATGGAGGACATTCTTATCATCAATGCTCCTGCAACTCCTCCCACTGTGAGCGGAACGACTCTGTCAAAATCGCAGAAGAGGAAAAAGAGGAAATTAGCAGCTAAGAATCAAACTGGACCCGAAAATAGCTGTGCTCCAACTGACTCGGAGAAGAAAACTGGGGACATTCCTACTGTTGATGCTCCCGCAACTCCTCCAGCCATGATCGGAATGACTCTGCTGGAATCAAAGAAGAGGAAAAGGAAGAAACCGTCATCTAAGAATCAAACTGAACCTGAAAGTAGCTGTGCTCCAACAGCAGAAGGAGATAAAACTGAAGGCACATCCAAAAGAAAGCGGAAAAGAAAATCATGGACAAGTTTGAAGGAAATCGCCCAGACAAATGAACAGAGTGGTAAACAGAACGTGACTGATTTTCCAATTCCATTTTCCTTACAAGGCACTTTCTAAAGGCCAAGTACACAAATTGTTTGTCTCAGCTTATTATTGAATCAAAACTGTAAATTGACGAATTAATTTTATTTTATACCTTGTGTTTCATCATCTGTCTGTGGTCTTCAAATGGGGTGATTTGAATTTGTCATTGCAGACTCATTGAGAGTCTTGATCTTCAAATTAGATTTTTCTAAGAACTCAATAATGTTTGGTTAATTTTTTTTGTTAGAAAGGACAATGGAAACCATACAAAAATGATACTACAATTGAAGACACTGAGTATGCTACGAAATGTTTAGAATGGTTAAAAGGTTTTCTAATTTGAAAATGTACCAATCTTGCTAAACTGAGTGCAATTCAATCTATTGAAACAAATAATTTGGATTGGAAGTTCTACCATTAAAGTATCAGCAAACTTAATTCGTAAATGGGGCTAAAGCTTGTGAGTTGAATTTTCACTTCGAATATTGGGGCTAAGAGAAAAAGAAAGGAGTAATTGAGAAATGAAACACCACCATTCGCTGGTGAAGGCATTTTTCCAAAGTAAAAAACTCGTCTTTTTCTCGTGTTGTGGTCTTGGGGAGACTTGCTTGTCGCTCGTCCAGGAATCTAGAGCCCCTCCATCACCCACTTCTAAGAATTCGCGAAAGTGGGCTTTCGTGGGTGTGCTCCATTTCAATGGCCTGATGGGGAATCGAAACCCAGATTTCGAGCTGCAGAGAATTCGAAAACAATCAGTGTTACACTAGGTTCAAAACATCGGGAAATGGACCAAGCTCGGGCGGATTTTTCCACAAAGATAGACAGTCAGATTCCGGGGACATCCCCAAATTCAACTGTTTCCGAGATGCCCACTTGTTCCGTTCTTGAAGATTCCACCAAATCGAAACCTCCGTTGAGACAGACCGAGATTTTCAAAGCCATTGAAGTCGTCGAGAAAGACTCTCTCGCCATAGCTGAGAGCTTCACCTCTCTCTTTGCTTCCCTCCGTTCGGCTCTCTCCGAGGTCACATAGTTTTGGCATCCTATTTCTTTTTGCAGCATTTTCATTAAGTGGGGTCGGTTAGAATGATCGTTCGACTTAGAGCTGAGTTTTTTTGAACTGGAATATACTATCTTCCTGTTTGATTTCCAGGAAAACGAACTTAATCAAAGCTTTAATCTGTAACATTCTTTATTTCATTTCTATCTCTTTGTCTTGCAATACGTACTGCATTGGCGTTTTATCGAATATTGAACTTCAGATTCTTGAGAAAATTTGTCATATTATTATGATATTCCCCACCTTAATTTTTGATTCATGCCACCTATTTGTGTCGCTTTGATATGCTGAAGATGGGATAAAAAAATGCTAAGCCTAATTATCTCCTTCAATGACTGAAAATTTACTACTCTAGCATGAATTGCTGGAGAAATGATTCTGGGTTTCCTCTGGTCAAGCAGTTTATCTGAGTGAAAATAGAATAATCTTGTAGGCCTCCGGCAACTCTATTGATCATATGCATTGCTTCAGTGACGCTGCAGGCTGCCTTCAAGAATCTGGTAAGTGAAAAAATGGATGATTTTGGTTGAAAAGAATGGCTGATTATGATGTCAGTTTAGATGTATCATTGTTGTCTACTATAAGTTGATTGGTCATCTGGGTATTTCTTCCTGTATTACTTAAAATTTGATCTGTACATCATTATGTTCATTATTCTGGTTAAGATGTGATAGTTGAACTTAAGAAGTGACTGCCTTGAGATTGGTTGTTACGTAATTGGCATTTGTGCCAGATTTTTTTATTAAATTTGGAGAGAGATTGGTTGCCATCAGACTCATGAAAATACAGAACGACTTTAATCTAAAACTTATTTGCAAGGTGCACAAACTTTTAGCATTGCATAACTCTAGTCATCGTGTGTCCTTTATGTATGTTCCACAATTAAAAAGGTCATTCTAGATGCCTCGTTTGTCATATCGAATATTGTCTAAGGTTGCTCCTAGAATATTAACAAACATATTTGTTGAATTGATGGTCTTTGACATGAGTTCTTTTGATTCTCTCTACCGTGTAGTGCTTGATGCGGCAACAAAGGGTAATCGGTACATTAATTCTTCATTGAGGTATGCTTCAATGCTCATTGACATCTCTTTTGATGATAACCATTAATGCAATTTTTCTATTTTACACCAATTTTAACAGAGATGTTCCTCTAACAAGCTAAGCAATTATGGACTCAATAACTCTTACTTGATAGTTATATAATTTGAGGTCTTTATTCCGATAGTATTATAAAGAAATGGAAGAGTGACATAGGCAGAGAGATTCTAACTTTTGAGAAATATTTATTGATGTAATAATCGAAATTGCAGTTTAGACACTTCAAGAAACTATTTGGTACATGTCTCTTTGCTATTTGAGGAGTAATTCATTGGTTGAGTCCTCTGTCAGTTGAATTGTGTTCATATTTTTTTGAGTTTGGAGAAGTTTTGTGGTTACTTCAGTAGATGCTGGATGACAGTCTCAGGCTACAATTCTGCAAAGGTGTAGCCTGAGATTAATCTGAGACTAGTCCATTATACGTAAATGTGTCTTTTTGTCCTTTTGTTTGTATCGATTATGACTATAATGCACCGTGTTGCAAAGTCAACTCTTTAAGTTACCAGTGTTCTAGAAGTCTTTTAAGGCCTTAAGGTGAGACCCAAATTTGAAGGAAGGAAAAACCTCCCCACTGGCCCAAAGAGTTAAAAATTGCATTGTCGAGAAAACTGATTGTTAAAGTCTTCTGCTACACACCAACACGAGCTTAGTTCAGGGGTGATTGGCACCTCTATCTGACAAAGAGGTCATGAGTTCGAATTCCCCCACCCTTACTTGTACTGAAAAAAAATGTTTCAACTACATAGGAGGACCTTGGGAGACGTTTGAACCGCTTGAAAGCACATGGATCTTGAAGTAGAAGCAAAAGAACATGAGGAAAAAAGATGATCATATGTTCCCTCACCCTTTTGGCAAAGAATACACCAAGTGGGGGAGAAAAGAAAGCAAATTTAGGATTCTTCTATTCTATTCTATTCTATCCATAGTATTGATCTCATGTTTCGAAAATGTCCCAAAAGAAGAATCTAACATTTTTAGGTATCTTCCACACCCAGACAAACTTTGAAATACCTTATGGAAGACGGTGGATTCTGCCATATAAATGCTTGAACAAGGAAGAGCAAGAAAGTAAGCAGGGTCCGAAATCTAATGTAATATTGTTAATTTTAACTGCTTTACATCTTCATTTCCTTGGTTCATATATCCTTGCCACTATTTTCTAGCATTCTATCTAAACTTTTTAGTGTTACTTGATGTTGATTCTGAGTTATTGAATTGTACGTGTCTTGAAAACCTTGCATTGATGGCCATTGCTTTAACTCTGGACTGTATTTTCTCTGCCTTGCAGATTGAATCAGGAAATGAAAGGCATTGACAATCTAGCTGCTCAGCTGTATCCTTTCCTTTCGTGTCTTTTCCCCACCATATTTCTATTTCATAATTTCTTCTGTTTATCTGCATTACCCAGTTCCTTAATTCTTGCTTAGCAAAGTTCTGAGGAAGAACGTCGACGCTCTAGACTCGGCCGTGAACAAGCTCCTTGATTTTCCATGAGCTCGGCACGGTGGTTGTTGATGTTTCAAGGTCAAGAATTATTGTTTCATTAGATTGTGAGAATGCAGTTCACTCCGTAGTTTCCTTCACATTACATGTTGAGCTCTTTGATGTATTTAGCTAGTTATAGGGGTGAATAAATCTTCTTTATCGTTGAATAGTGTAACTGTGTTCTCAATAATTAATGTCACTTTTCTTCAAGAAGGTTTAGGGTTGCCCTCTTAATGGAGATTAAGTTAATAATTTGCAACGAAAAATAGCTTGATGGGTATAGCTCCATCCAATTAAAAGTCAACTGTTTAGGCAAGTCCTTCTTTTGTCAAAATACCAAAAAAAAAAAAGAGAAAAAAAAAAGAGAGAGTAAATTATTTGTGATTTACAATTTAGGCAGGCAGAGGCAACACTATTTTCTATAAGCACCAAAACTTGAGGATTCAATTTTTTCAAAAGCAAGCATAAATAGTTTTAAAATATTCATTCATCTCTTCCAACCACGTGAGATTCATGTTTCAAAATAAATTTCAAATAAAAAAGAAAGGGAGGGACTGAAGAACAATAAATGTCCTTAAATACTGTCCTTTCAATTGACTTGATTAATTAATGTCCTAAATCAAATCAAGACGTGTTTAGCAATAACGTGAGCAACGCTGTCTACGTTGCAAGTTGCAATTAATAAAAAAAGATCATTGTCTAAATTGCAATTAATAAGAAAGGGAAAGGCATCAATTCAAAACCAGCAATCAAATATCAAAGAGGCAGGAAGGAACTAGGAATGGTGAAATTATCGAACTAATTCTTTACGCTTAATAGTAAAATACGTCAATTCAGAAATCGTAAAAAAGTGTTATGTTGCGACTTGCCTCAAGTTATTAATTATCCATAATCTCTAATTATAAAAAATGATGATTGTATTGAAGTAATATTCGTTTGAAAAAAAAAGGAAGTATCTTTTTTTAAAAAAAGACGATCGAGTTTTTTAAATAAAAAAAGTTCTTACTGTTCTTTTCTTTTCCTTTTTTGAATCAACCAATCCGAAATGATCTAAAACCTCCCCCAAACCCAGAAGCAACATAAAAGCGAGGACTTCGTTTGCTCATCGTTTCTTCCATTTTGAGACAAACCAGTAAATTTATATAGGTTGTGTTGTCTGATTCACCCATTTGTAGAATTCTCAAATATGTGGATTTTTGGATGGAAAGGACCATCTGGGTTCTCAGCCCGTTCTACAGCGGAAGAAGTCACAGAAGGGATTGATGGGAATGGCCTCACTGCTATTGTTACAGGTTTTGTTTCATCTTTTCCCTTTTCCTGTTTGTTCCCCTCTATTCAAATCATTCCTTCGATCGGGGTTTTGTTATTAGTTATTTCCCCTCTTTGCTGGTCACTCTCAGAAGTCGATGGTGATTTCTCTTTTAATCTTTCAGTGTCTCCTTAGTAAATTTGATGCGTTCCACCAATCCGATGTCTAGATGTGGATGTTTAACTTGCTGTTAGATCACTGGCTCACGACTTGATTGCTATTTGTTTTTGTTCTAATGCAAATTTCCGTGCCATTTTTAGTCGTAACATAATACCTTCTAACACTTTCTTGGCCATAATATGAATACTAAGTTTCTTGAGTGTGTTCTGTCGCTATTCCTTGACTGTTCAGTCTCAATCAGGTGTTGGTGGCCTTCATCCTTTTTAATGTGATCTTCTTTTATATGTACTGTGTAGAGATTTATGGAGTAATGCAATTTTCTTTTTGAAGATTTATGTACTGATTGAAATTTAATTGTTAGGTTCATACTTAGCAGAATGTTTGTAAGTCTAGAAACTGAGTCAGAATAAGGATCTTTGAATGGCTCTTTGCAAGAATGCCTGAAGATTTGATGCTCTGTGCAAGCATCAGGCAAAACATTAGCCGGTTTGGATCGATTTCTAAAAACTGTTTCTGAACATGGACTTTGAAACTTGTTTTCTGTTACTTTTTGCTTGAAAAGAGATTCATCTGGATAGTGTATTTGTTTCCATTTATTTTTAATTTCTATACATGTCACATTAGAAAACATTCTTTACTATATATGAACAATCTTTTAAATCGTTCCAAAGAAATAATATGTAAATGACAAAACTGTGTTCTTGAATGTACAAGTTTTTTTTTTCTCGCTACTGTAGTCGGTTAGCCAAAGGTCAATGTTGTCTGGGGAAGTTTTACATTTTTGGATCCTTCTTCTGTCCTTGACCATAATTTTTACTTAAAAAAGGGTCAGCTTTCCTGATCTCATATTGAATCTCTAGATCTAATTCTCACGTTTCTCCTTTTACTATATATTTTACTAGTTTCCCCTCTGATCATTCACTCAAGTTTCTAGCATCATTTTGATCTATAGAAGAACTTTCTCATTTATCTTATTTTGGTTAAAGAATAGTTGAAGTTTTTCTGCTTTTGAAATATCTGGTTCTTTTTTCTTTTCTTACTCATGGTTTCAGGAGCTTCAAGTGGTCTTGGCGAAGAGACCACACGCGTTCTTGCATTACGGGGAGTCTATGTCATTATGGCTGTAAGGAATGTTGAAGCAGGGAAAAAAGTAAAAGAAGCAGTATGCCAGGAATTCCCGTCTGCTAAAATCGATATCATGGAGTTAGATCTTAGTTCAATGGAATCAGTAAGGAAATTCGCATCAGATTATATTTCCTCAGGCCGTGCACTGAATATTCTCATGTAAGAACTGAATTTGGATTCGCTGGACTCAAACTCTTTGCTTTGCCCAGGGGATCTGCCTTTCCACAAGCCTGCATTTCATTAATGCTTTCCTTTTAGTTGAATTTTATAGGATGCCTTGTGCAGGTTTTACAACTCTGAGAATGGATGTTATGCTGTTTATATTTCATTATTTATCTTGACATGTTTTCTTAAGAAATTGGCTGAAATGTTAACAATTGCCTCCAAAAGAAGAGAGTTTTAGATCAAATTCAGCTGAATAGAGAATGATCATTTAACATATATTTTCTTTGTTTTAAGGAACAATGCAGGTGTGATGGCTACTCCTTTTATGCTTTCCCATGATGGCATAGAATTGCAGTTTGCAACGAACCATTTAGGTATGTTTCAAATAAATAATTTTGTCATAAGTACAATTATTTCATTAAGTTTGTTGCTTAAATATAGTCGTTTTTAAGCTTTATGATCCTTTCATGCTTTCCCATGATAAACTTCTAACATGAAATGATCAAAATCTATGAACTATTCAAATATATTTAGAATATTATAATATAATATAAATACAAAGACGTCTTTGACGGGTCCTCGTCGTTCTTGAGGCAGTGATGTGTCATTGTGTTTGAGTTGTATAATGCCCTTGTACGATGTTCATGTTCATGTTTCTTAGATTTTAAAATATCCTCGTCAATGAAGTGCATTTTCTTAGTTAAGCAGAAAGGGTTGTTGATCGATATCTAATGGAACACCATCTTTTCTGATTGGTTGAATAATTGTTTATAATATATCCTTGTATTACTGACCTCTTGGGTTTTATAGATCTACTTCATTACATTATAAAGTTACTCTAAAAGAAAAAAGTTGTCAAACACAAATTTATTGCACTACATCTGATCCATCTATGTTATTCTTAAACATATTCTCTTTCAGATATTCTGACTAGTTACTTTGGATTATTACTCTATTGTAGGACATTTTCTTCTGACAAATCTTCTACTGGATACCATGAAAAAAACTGTGCTTGAAAGCAAAAAAGAGGGAAGGATTGTCAATCTGGCATCTGAGGGTCACCGAGTCACTTATGGCGAAGGAATTCGTTTCGATAAAATCAATGATGAATCAGAGTAACAATCTTAGTTGCTTATTTTGATGATTGAAGCCTCAAAAGTTTCTTTGAATGTGATATAGTAATTCCTTTTGTCATGTGAAATTTCAGGTACAGAACTATCCTAGCTTATGGACAATCAAAGCTTTCCAACATATTGCATGCCAAAGAGCTCGCCAGGCGGTTAAAGGTGCTTATTGGTTTATTCATCAGATTTATAACCAGAGCTTTAAAACTTGTATCTTAAACTAGGCAGAAATTTTCGGTGTAGGATAAGTGACTTGAAATTTCTATCCTTTCAAAATCAGTCATCTTTATTGCTTTTAGAATCTAAAACTTTGTCTTCAACTGTATAAATGTTCAACCGGTCACTCTCTGAAGTGAACTAGGTGGAATTCCCATATCATTCACACGAATTTATCTAAATATATGTTCAATATACATATATTTGATCATCATGACATTATTCCTTGATCATGTAACAGCCTTTTCTGAATAATATATTATCCAATGACTCCAGTAAACTATTAAATAACAGGCGGCATAATCATTGGAGATGATTTGTTCTACAGTTCTTTAAACAAATTTATATCTTTGATATAGTGTGTGATGGAGCTTGCCTTATTGTGATTTCCCCAGTTATCTTATCAAGTCAAATTTAATTTACGACTATCATTTTTATGTTTTTTGACAGGAAGAAGGGGTAGAAATAACAGCCAACTCCCTTCATCCTGGAGCAATTATTACCAACTTACTACGCTTCCATGGTTTAATTAATGGTAACTTACTCGGCCCTTTGCAAATATAAGGCGAATGTACTTTTGTAGATGCTAAACTGCATGTCTCAGATGCTTGTTTCGTTAGTAGAATATACGCGTCTTAATTTTTATCTATTCCAAAAAGGGTGCTAGCCTCCCGCCGAGGTCAAGGATCTCCTCGATATCTTTTCCGAAAAAAAGGTGAAAAAGATTCAAAGGCTCACGTGATTTATAATTCTCCAAGTATTTTTATAAAGGCATCTTTTTCAATCAATTCAGAAGATTTGGTGTTTCAATCAAATTGACCGTTTTAGGTACTCATGAATCACAGATGGAGAACTTCCTATTTTTGAATTAGTGTAGGCTTATATAATGTTTCTTTACCATAAGTTGTCTGTCATCTACTGTTCTGTGTGTATGACTTATCGCTTTTATTACAGCTGTTGCCGGTTCAGTCGCTAAATTTGTGCTTAAAAATGTCCAGCAGGTATGTTAATCATTGATTTCATCAAATTTTCTTGAAGACTACATATTTAGTCTCTCTCAGGTGGGTTTTTATGAGCATAAATTTACATTTGACTGTAGGGAGCTGCAACTCAGTGTTATGTGGCGTTGCATCCCCAAGTCAAGGGGGTAAGTGGAGAGTATTTTGCTGACAGTAATATATCCAACCCAACCAATCACGCCAAGGATAAGGAATTGGCCAAGAAACTGTGGGATTTCAGTGTGGAACTGACCAGCCCTAAATAATCTGAATCCTTAACATGACTTCTTATAGATATATGGACAGTTAAATGGTGGAAGTAGATTAAAAACTATTTGTAGTTTCAGTTGCCCTCTCTGCCTTGAAACAAATATAAGGAGAATCTATTGTAGATCTCCTATAGGGTGGTTCTATTGTTAGCCTATTGAAAAGAATACAAGTAGAAGTTTGTAATGCTTGTGTTTTGAAATAAATACAGTTGTGTGTATACTGTAGATTTCAAGTTTTTCAGATTGGTTTCTCTGTGCTAGACACCTATTCTATTGGTCTCTAAGAGAAGATTTCCAAATGGGGGGTGGGGTTCTTTTCTGCTCTGAAGTGAAAGAATGTGTTCAAAATGAATAATAATACACAGCCGGCTCTTTCTTATATGTAAAGCATTGCAAGACAGTTTTGAGAAAGTAATCAAACCAGCGACATGTTGCCCCTCAGAAGTAGAGCAGTATACTGCAATGGTGCACCGATTCTTATTCTGTTTGCAGCTCATCCATTTCAGGGAATCAAAGCATGTCTTACTATAGACACTGTTGCAAATTGCAATTGTTGGGTAGCTCCAACCCAATAAATTCTCACCTTTTTGTGTATTCTAACAACTAATTTTAGATCAACAGTAGAAATATTCTGAAAAGATAAAAACACTTTATATTACCATATATACAAACTTTCAATTTCTATCAGAATACTAACATCTATTACAATTCAAGTGCTGTTTATTAACACGGCCCTATTGTCAATCTACAACTTTCTATTTATGTTTCTAAGAATAGCTGCCTCTGTTTCGTGTCATATTGTTAAAAAGAAAATGGTTTGAATGTGGCTCTTTCATGATTTGACCTCTTTTCTATCTTCAAAACTCACCATTTCTCTAGCAGTTTGTCTCACCTACCAAGTTGTAACTGCAAAGCAAGATGATGGGTGTCGTGAGTTACCAGAGGATAAGCACCAGTTTGGTCATCTTGGCTGCTGCGTAATTGGAAAGAACGACCAGGCCCCGGTGGTCGTACCTTCTGTCTCTGCATCCTTCCCATTAGCCCACCACGCTGAGTTGATATTAGGCTTAAGTGTATCACATCCATTGCCATTATCAAAATTGAATTCTTTCACAGTCCCAAGAGTAACGGAATGATGTTCTACTTCTTGATGCCCATGTACTTCTTCACCATCTGCTTTTTCCTGTTCTTCTGTATCATTTGAGGTATGACCGCCAACATGAGAAGTTTCTTTTGCCGTTTCAAGTGGTTCGTGTATTGGAGATGATGCAACTGCAAGTTCATTTGATTCCAGTGGTTTATTTTCTACGCTTTTTAATAAAGCATCTTCATCAGACAACTCAAATGAGAATCTATGATTAGCAGCAGCAGCTTCATCCCTTTGGCTTCCATCAGTGAGGATCTGAATATTATGATATTCATTTGACGCGTGGTAGTCTGACACAGATTCTGAAGTTTGAGGATTCAAAACAAAATCGTTACTAGATTTGTACCCTACAGAATTCTGAGTGCAAGAATCAGAACTTTGCTGTAGTCGCCAGTCCTGAATAGAATGTTGGTCAAGGTTCAACAGCGTAGGAGGAACTTCTATTGGGAAGTTAGAAAATGAAGAACCAGAGGGAGTAAAATCACAATCAGGCAAAGGCGACGATGCCCCGGAACGGGAAATGACCGAGCGTGGTGATATGAGGTGACTAACTGGGCTTCCGGGATAGAATTGATAAGATTGAAAGTCATCATTAGGAAACTGATCATATTGGTGATCAGACTCAACTTTCTGATGGCTAGGTTGCAGATACTGAGCAAATGGAACTTCAGGGGAAGAAGGTGTAGTCAAGTGGATAGACTCAGGAGGAGTGAAGGGAGCAGTTGATGGCTGAGTAGTGACAGTGGAGAAATTCAGAGGTGGAGACACTAACTGTGTTTCATGAGCAAATGGGCCAACGGCAAAAATAGAGGAAGGCCCATCAGGGGAATACATGTTAGCAGTGAGAGAAGTGAAAGAGAGTATGGCTGTTGGTGATTGTGTAGCAGAAGGCGGCTCTGATTGAAGGAAGGATACAGGGGAAGAGGGAGGTGCAGCAAAGGGAAGCACAATGTCTGGTGATTGTAATGTATTTTCAGGAGGTTCAGTTGAAGGACTTGGTTCTGGGACCAGTACAGCGTGTCCAATTCTCTTCCTCTGTTTGAGAGATCCAAAGCACCAATAAATACTCCAGCAGCTGCCCCATCTCCTTTTCTGGGGGTAATCAAACAAACAGAAAAAGAGGAACAAGTGATAATGACATCAGTACACAACAGTGTAAAGAGTTGGGACAAACGACAGCCCCATTTGTTGGAATCTTTATATAAAAAGCATTGCTCTACCTCAATATAGAATGCTAATTTTTTTTTAAAAAAACCTCTCCCTCTCTCTCTCTCTTTTTGAAAAAAAGGAATGGGGAGATGCCTTTCAGATTATAAAAGGAAAGGCAGTGTTCATTACAAAAAGACAAATAACATTGGCTGGAACAGAGCATTGCCTTCCTGACACGGTCATCCAACCCGAGACACTAATCGTGTACTTTTCAAACCTTAAAAATCTAATAATCATGCGATAAAACAGAAAAAGAGAAAAAGAGAAAAGAAACTCGTGATTCCCTTTTTCCGTGTGTCCATGTGATGGGAGTTTTTAAGCAAAAACAAACAGAAGGACCAAAAAAAGGGGGAAATTGAAGCCTTATATAGAATTCTGCAATCGAGGACAACACAGATTCCGCGATATCATAAGACATACGAAAGAAGAGAAACACAAACGCTCCAGCCTTAAGACCAATGATCGCATCATCCTACTACCTAGCGGAATAAAGAATGAACCATAATTTCCAGAACAGGACCAGTATCAATCCACACGAGGAAACCGCGCTAAAATCACAAATTCCAATTCCAACAATACCTGGACGGCAGTAGCCCGAGGGAAACGATGATCGACGGTGGCGATCGCATCGGCGGCAGCCGTTATGGTTTGGAAGGTGTTATTCACGGGGCTCAGATCGGCATCAGCATCCGCATCCGGACGTCGCCTCATCGCTGTGATCGTTCGAAACGAAAGAATAGCCAATTGTTTTCATAGAAAAATCGCCGTTCCTCATACACGAGAGATGAAATTTTGTTGGGGGAAAATGGAAGAATTTGCAGTAAGAAAGTGAAGAGAAGGTTCGTTAGGGAGAGATAAAGAAGAAGACGGAGGAGGCGGAAGGAAAATGAAATAACAGATTATTGTATTAAGCAAAAATAAAAAAAAAATTAAAAAAAGGATTTATGACGTGAGAATTATTATTTAAGAAGTGGGAGTGAGAGTAATTATTTGATTTCTCTGAATTATTATTATAAGTTATAATTATTTATAATGGGTTTTAGGTTAAGGTTTTTTTTCCAGGTCTAACACGGCAATGACTTTGCTTCTTCTCCTCTAGTTTGTCCAACTACCAAAAATATTAGGTCAAGGTTATCTTTAAATCCTCAATTTTCATTATGCATTTCTCACTTCTGCCCTTAGTTCACACTTCAAATTATACACATGCATCAACGACACACGTAAATTGGTAATTAGATGACAAAGTTTAGTTAACAACAACTCACTATAGAAATTTGGTTAGTAGTTTATATACTAGACAAGATTGAAATTAATTTGGTTAGTAGTTTCAAAAATATATGTTATTTTTTCTAAACATTAATAATTTGTAACTGTTGAACTAAATTGAGAAATAGGGTGTAAAAGATTATTATTGGCGCACGTGTGCACATATAATTGTTTGATTTGAAAGTTTGGTTTGAGGGTTTCGTGACAAACAGCAACACTTGCTAAAGCGTGAGCGAATTTGTCTGATATTTAATAGACTTCTCCATGGTTGTTGGGCTTTAATTTGTTTTTTCTTCTCCTCTAATTAATATTTAATTTATTCAGTAAATCGCCACTTTCAACGACCTTCTCTCTCTCTATCCACGTGGATGAGAGTAAACTTCATAGATAGATAAGAGTTGACCCTACTGCAATTAATTACTTCTCTCTTGTTATATGTATATGTCTACGTGCACACACACGTCATATTGTATGCTATTTGTGAACAAATATTATTTCATTCTTTTGAAACAAAATATTATTTCATTCAAAACTCAGGTTTCAAGTCACGTTTATATTTATATTGTAATATAAGGTTTTGTATGCTTTAACTTTGTCAACTTTGGCCACATACACTTTATGATCTATATGTATTATGCATGTATCTATTTTTATGTATATATACACACATCATTTTCTAAAGTATTACTTTTCGAAGTTGTGTGAGAATTTTTCTCAATGACCTAAACAGAGATCGGGATGATTTTCGGACCCCACTCCGTTCATTTTAAATTATATATATATATGTATATCTTAAATTTAAATAGTTGTGTATGAAATTTTGAAATTTAAATTTCACCATTCAAATTATCAAATACAAGTTTTTTTTTTATCAATAATTTGAATTGTAAAATTTATAATTTAGAATGAGTTGTTTTTATGAATTATGCCGACATTCTTCAACAATTTAAGATTTTTTTCTTCTAAATGGAGATTTTTTTGTGTGGTTTAACCATTCATAAAGAGTTTTTTTCATGTTGATTTAAATGGAGATTTCCTATACATGAAGAATTAACATTTGATTATAAATTTTCTATAAAAGATAAATAAATGAAAAATAATTCCACAACCGGATTCCTACAAGTTCCCCGCTGGAATGAGGAACATGAAATGGGTGACCAAGACGGGGATGGGGACCCCGTCCTGCCTAATCCCACAACACTTCTATCTAATTTTGAGTCGTTTGTAACATTCCCATTTTTTGTTTATAGTCTCTTGTTTTCTCTTCATCTCCAACAAAATCAAGTTTACTTTTTTTTTTTAATAAAAAATGAAAAATTTGAAATAGGTACCAAATGTAATTATACTATTTTATTACTAAAGAAAAGAAATAAGAAATAAGAAACAAGAAACAAGAAACAAAAGGTTACTTTGTCCTAAAATGTTTATATTTATTTTATTTCTTTGCCATGCTTTTTATCTTTCTTATAAATATAATTGAATTAAATGTCAATTCTTCATTTTTTATTTATTTATAAACTTAATTTTTAAAAAGAGAAATAAAAAAACAGAATAGTTATCATTATTTGATCGTTTAACATATGCATAACATAATTTTAAATATGTATATCTTTTTTTGAGTAAAAAAAGAATATTTAAATATGTATATTAAACTATGATGTGACATCTGTAAGTGGTCATATAAGTTAGTGGAAGATTGAGTAAATATATATATTAATTAAGAGCTAAAGTTTGTTTTTTAGAAATTTAATATATAACAATTTAGGGTAAAGAAAAAGGGTCTTTAAAAAAAAAAAAAACGGATGACAAAAGTTCAAAACTGCCCTCACGCAGGATCGAACTACGGACCTTCAGTTTACAAGACTGACGCTCTACCACTGAGCTATAAGGGCTTCTGGCTAGTGAATTCTTTGTTATATATAAAATACTAAAACGTTTTTATTTTTAAAGTCATATTTTAAGGAAAAAAAATGCTTAAAATCATATCAGTTAATCGTAGTATTTTATAACTACTTCTGATTCAACTAGTCGCGCTCTTTAAATAATTAACATTAATATGTACTTTACAAATAAGTCGGAGAAATGTAGAAAAAAGATATTAATAAACAAAAATTCCTCATTAACATTAATATGTACTTTACAAATACGTCGGAGAAATGTAGAAAAAAAGATATTAATAAACAAAAATTTTGGAAGTGAGATTAGTGAACGTACAAATACTAAAAAAATTAGTTCTAAAAGAAAATGCGACTTATTTCGGACAAAAAGAAAAAAAGAAATTGACCTAACATTAAAAACAAGATACCCTAATTAAGATCATTGAGATGCAACCATACAATAGTTAAAAAAATAAGATTTACTTTTAATTTCTTTTTGATAGCTTATTTGATTACAAATAACTTAAAAATTAAACAGGCTTAGCTTATAAACACCTAGCTCCTAATTTCATTTCAACTTTGAAGAAAGAGAAAAAAGAAAAAAAGAGACATTTTTTTTCAAAAAAATAATAATTAAAAAAAATGAAAGAAGAAAAAGAAAAAAAATGAAACATGTTATGTCGTGTATGAGAGGGGATTGTGATGGCGTGGGCAGTGGATTGAGGTCAATTAATGCTCATGCGGTCCATTGTTTTATCTTTTATGGTCCACACCCGTATCATTACTCATCCTATAAACTTTTGTTTTAATATTTATTTATTTCGATCCACATTTTATCGAAATTTTTATTTACATTTTAATGAAATAAAATTTCAAAGACTAATTCTTGCGGAGAAAATTAAGTTTATATAAATTAAAATAACAGTTTGCCAATTTAAATATAACTAGGTTCTTAGAACTTTCTCTGACTTTATTTTTCATATATAAGGTTTACTTCTCCAAGAAAATAGCTGATTGAGGCATATTTTCGAACAAATTGTGAACCAGAGCAGAGCCACAATTTATGAAAAGAAAAAGTGTGGAAGAGTGGGTTTGAGATGTTTTTTTGAAAGAAAAGTGTCCCTTAAAATTTTTATTTTGCGAGCACTTTTAGAAGAAAAATATTAAATGTTTCATTATGTATTTGAATTAAATATTATTTGGAGGAGATTTAGTGTAGACTCTATTATTTGAATTAGATTTAGTTTAGATTATATTATTTGAATTGAATTTCTTATTCCTATAATGTTTAAGAATTATAATATTAAATAGATTATTAAGTTTGTATCAAACAATTCAATTCAATAAAATGTTGGTGAAAGTGAGCATAGCTCAGTAGTAATTGGAATATACCTCCAATAGGTGTATTTGTTAACTTTAAATTGATTTTTAAGGTATCATAGTGATTTTTGAAAAATCAATTACACTTAAAATCTCTTGTTAATTAAATTTACCAAACCCATTTTTCGATTGAGTGGTGGTTTATTCACCCTTAACCAATCTATTTTTTCAAAATCACTTATTGTATCATCACTCCAAAACCCATCGTCCTAGATCAATTCACTTGTAGAGCTTTTCAATTTTGAGGGTGAAACTAATTCCCCTTTTTGCCTAGTAATAAACTATCTTAAATTCTTCCTCGAGGGAAGGATTTTAAGAGTACTCTTTCATAGTAGTCTCGAGAGTCCTAATTTTATAAAGGGTTCTTATTTTGTTTCAATTTGATAATCATTTTGTAATTAGACCTCCAAGTTAGAACCACTTCTTCCATTCTAACTATTCATTTATCAACTTTTAAAAAACATTTTCATAAAATCTAGGTCAAATTGTGAAAATCTAGTTAAAAATTCAAACGTGTTCTTTCTTTTTGAAAGGAATGAGAAAAAACATAAAGATCAGAAAACCAACATAATCTTTAAAAGTCGAAAATCGAAAGCGAAATCATTATCCAACTCAACCCAGAACATTTAACTTACAACTCAACCCAACCTTTCAAAGCTTAAAAAAAGTTGGAGATGGAAGTAGAGATTTTTTTTTCTCTCTTTTTAGTTTCATCACATGCAAATGCATTTAGTGGTTGCAAAAGAAAGAGAGAGATTTGTATGTACAAATAGGTTAGGGGTTTATGGGCAATAGGTGGAGTAGGGCATGTTTGTGAGGCGCAGCGCAGAGAGAGGAGAGGAGGGGCAGGGCAGGGCATGACCCAGCCGGCCGGCCCTAACAATTTTGAGCATTCAGCAGCGTAGTGTGTAGTTAATAATTATGGTGTTTGTTTTATGGGATCGGCTGCCCACTCTCACTCCACCTCTGCACACTATTTAATTCAACCCCCATATATATGTCTGCATCTCTATAATAATGCCTACGCCCTTAGCCTTCTTTAATTTTCTAAATATTGTTTGCATTGGGGGGTGACATAACACCAACACCACCCCCACCACCAACAGTATGCATATCTATATATAATTGCTTTTGGGAGTTGTGCATTTTGTTATATATGTTATTGTTAGGGAAGGACAACCCACTAGCATGTGACTTTTTTTTTTTTTATCTCCAAGGGTGCGTGTATTATATTGTCTATTTCGGACTCAAGCTTTCGTGTTGAAACAAATCTTGTGTCCTTGTTTTGTATGTCACGGATTTGATATATTGTGTTTATGTTTCTAACAATTTACCCCGACCCCTCCTAGAGTTTTGGTTTTCTGGTTTCACTTGGAGAGCTTCTCGATCATACTAATATGTGAATCTTGTTGGTTGTGACGCACGAATATAGAGGAAGGGTACACTAGATCTTGAGAAGGCTTAAAAGAATATGATAGTAATTACCTTTAATCAGTCAGTGGTACAATTACAAGAAGGCTACAATTCTTGGCTTTGAAGTAATCTTGGTTGGATGACAAGATTTTCTTAGAAAGTATGTAAATGACCACGAGGAAAAAAGAAATATGCTGAAAGAAACTTTGTTGGTCTATAGAGATAGTCTTTAGTATTCGAAGCAAGTAAAGTCAAGCATATAACGACAGAGCGTGCTAAAAGGATCCTGGTTGGTCTATGCAGGGACGATATAGTCTTTTCACACTTCTAAACAAACTAAAGTCAAGCGCAGCCAGGTTGGCGAATTCAAATTCCAAATCCTGAACTTGGGGCATCACACACTTGTACTTCTATGCCAGGTAAGTGACCATATCAAAAAGCAAGATCAGGTGAGTATGTTTGCTCCATAATGGAAGCCGAGAGGGAGGTAATTAAAGAGGAGTTGATGGGGTTACATGGAAATGGAGAAGTATAGAGAAAGGGAGGAAGGGCAATGGATTAGTGGACATAAGGAGTAAGCAAATAAAGAAAGGGGAGAGAAGACATGGAAATATCCGACGGCATGCAGTGGAGAAAGAGAAGAATCAGAGAGAGAGAAAAAAGGCTTGCTTGGGCGTTGGCAGTGTTATTTTGAAAGACAAAACAATTAATGCAAATGGCCAAAGATCCATTTCGTTAGGGGTTTCAAAGTCTGTTGGGCAATGCCATAAGAAAAATCGTACACACAAGGGCAAAGGGCAATGGCAAAGGTAGCCCTACTTCTGCTACTGTTCACTGCATGGCCTCTTTTGCTTAGCTGCTGCCTACTGCATGCCTCCACTCAACTCAACTCAATCAATGAGAATGAATGAATGAATGAAAATGAATGAATATTTAGATTCTATTATAGCTAGATGCTATACCTATATATCCCTAAACATGGGCCCCTACCAACATAGCCCTTTTTTTTCTTTTCCTTTTTCTCTACAATATCTACATATACATCATATGCCTTTTACATCTCCCAATTCCTTCCCATTTTAATAATTCAACTCCTTCCCCTAAACTCAAAACCCAAAACCCAAAACCCACTTCCCAAGTTCATGTCATCTATCTCCCCCATGGACCCTTTTGGTGATTTCATCCCACTTTGAATGCACCTTATTAATACCTCATCTTCCTCATTTAATTTCTCCAAGTTTTCATTTTCCCAAATCTCATGATCTTTCTCTTTCAATCAAGTATTCCATATCAGATGGATATAATTCTGAGTAAGCGTAGAAATTTTTGCCGTGATATGTCGTCCACCACTAAGTTTTTGATGGATAAGAGAGAAGAATATAGAGAGAAAAAAAAATTACTTGTAAGAAATCTATGGTGGGTGGTAAGAGAGATTAGGTAATTAACCATCTTGAATGGCTTATAATTGATTCAAAGGGGATATGGTTAAATTGAGAGAAAATGAGTTCAAACCCATATTGGTTACCTATCTTAGAAATTAATTCCTATGTATTTATCGGCACAAAATATTGTATCCTCAAAGTGAGATTAGTCAAAGTGCATGCAACCGAAACGAACAAAAAAAAATGGATGGGACGTTGAGAATATATAATGAGATAATTAGGTTTACTAGCTAATTAACTATAATATAAGCTATATGAAGTGGTTCTGATTTCCAAAAAAAAAAGAGAAAGAAAGAAAGAGGAAAATTACTGTATAAGCTATTATCACAGTAAGAGATTTTAAATTTAACTTAGATTTGCAATGTTATTTTCTCCATGTTCATAATATATATATCTTGTTAGTTAGTTTAGCTGTGGTTGAGTCTTCTAAGTCAAAACTAAAATTCAATTCTTGAAGTGAGGTTTTATACCCTCGACATTGAGGAAGGGGCCGAGGAACCCTTATTTATCAATCCATTTCTGATGAAGTTTATTTTTGTTAAATTAAAAATAGTAGTATGATTAACTTGTTAATTCACAATAGAGTGTATTTAATTATACAAATGGATCAAAAGTGATGACTAAATATATGAGAAGGTAAAAGCAAGAGTTTCTTAGGAGAGACCAAATTGTGTTTATCTAAGAACAAATTAAATTATTAGATAAAACCTTGTAAGAAACTAAAACATAATCTCCCTCAACTTGGAGTGCATGATGATATTACCATCATTATCTTAAATTGGACTACATTATTGCTTTTTATTTTTATTTTTTGATATGTTCTCAAATACCTTTTGATGAAGTGGTCACTTTTTTTTTTTAAATCTCACAAAAAAAACATTAAGTAATTTCTCCATGCTTATCCAACTCACGACTTGTCTTTAATTTTTCTCTCATATTTTTTCTAATTATGACATTTCCATCATTCCTCTGCATTGGAGTGATTTCACTTAGCCCGTCTATGACATGTTTCTCACATTTTTTTTCAATGAATGGTGTGTTTCCCTAATAAAGAAAAGAAAAAGATGGAGAAAAAAAATATTAATTCACCATTTTAATTTTTTTCTCTCTCTATAAAGAAGATTAGTAGTATTAAGATTTGTATCATACATTTAAGTAAAAACAGTCTAAACCATGGTGGCCACCAACTACTTATTTAATATCCTATGAGTTGTTTTGACAACCAAATGTAGTAGAAGTCACAGTTGTTCCCTGATATTAGTATAGATGTGTGTAAGCTGTCCTAAAAAAAAATTTAGTTGAATATTTTACTAATATAATAATATAGTTTATGAGGAAACTTCAAATCATGTACTAGTTTTTACACAGAGATTTCATATATATATATATATATATATATATATAGCCACAATTTGGAAAGATCTCAAAAACCTATAAGAACAACACACCAAGCTAGTTTGTGAGTGAGTGAGTCAACCAAAAAAAACCAGGAAAAACACCAATATTATTGCTTCCCACTGCCATCCATCCAAAAACTGCACAACACCAAGATGAGAAACATTCAAGTTCATGAGATATCAATAACAAAATCAATAACAAGGAAAATGAGAAGATATAGATATATATCATTAATTATTACATGATCTAATTATTGTATGTATTTAATGTGTGTGTGTTACAAGAAAAGAAGCTTTAATTTCTCTAATTCTATGAGGTTGTTGTTGATTTAATTCCTATGTATATAGCAAAACAAGACTAGGGTATGCAGAATTTAAAATGTCAAAATTTGTTCTTGTGCAGTGTAGTTGAATATATAATAGTGTCAGAGACAAAGCATTTATCCCAGGATTATTTTCAATTGGGGGCAACATCACCATCTCTTCCCATTTTGTCTCTTATGGTTTAACTCCTATGTTCTTTGGTCCAAACCATGATTTATAACATTTTGACCAACCCTAAAATCTAGAGAAAGTGAAAAAAAACTAGTGCAAATCCTATTTATTAAGTAAAGTGTATATATCTGGGAGGGAATTTCATATTATAAGCCAATTTGCCCCCCCTTTTTTTTAGCTTTGCGCTCCTGTACCTATAACTAAAGATACTTGTGCCAGCTTCAAGGTCTAGACTTGGGAGGCATAAAAAATTTTTGGTATTAAACTACCGGAATGTTCAAACTTGAGACCTCTAAACTAGTATACGATCAGGGACTCCAGCTAGACTATTTGGCTAAATTATTCAAATTAAACTCTTCAACTATATCGAACTATCTATTTGGCTAAATTTTCTCTCCCTGCTATCGTAGGGGTGAGTTATATTATAGGTTCTTCAATGTTTCGAAGTATTTTTAACGTAATTAAAATCAAATCCCTTTTCAAAATGATCTTATATGCTTTTAGATAAAGCACTTAATCAATGCATATTCTGAAATTTCTACTTCAGTTAGACACACCACTTTCCAACTGTTTTACAAAAACACTCTAGTTTCTATAAACATAACCCTATGAAAAGATCACTTCCATAGATTTGTATTGTGTCCTAACTCTTAAATGTTTTTTCTTTCCCTCCAAATAAAACTAACCCCCAAATCTCTTTTATCAATATAAAATCTATCCTGTGTAATTAAGAACATTCTAATATATAACCTACATCAAGACAAGATAAATATATAATGTATATATGATTGCGGTTCATTTATCAGAATTCCCATGCTAAAAAGCTTAGATTTCACATGGCAAAACATGAAATTTTGGATATTAAATTACTAATTAAATATATTCAATAAGGTATGCAACCAAGCAATATCCGACAAAGAAAGAAACATAGTAAGTAGTATAATTTTATGGACACATCAGAAGAAGCCTAGTAAAACATGAGTGTTTGTTCATAAACAAGTGTATCATAAAATTCTAACATTATCTACACAGATTGAAGGAAAAAAGTACTATAAACATAAGAGTAAAATCATCAGTTATAAGAGTATAAATACTTTTTTCATTCGGAGTCTGTGAGAAACATACGAAAGAGAGAGGTCAGAAGAAAACAATTCAATTTGGAGAAATGATAGATATATTATAATTACAAATAAACTTTGATAGGATGTGTAAATGGTCTTATAAATACTTTGATCAAGTTCTTTTTGAAGATTGAGAATAGGTATATGTGTTTTGAAGGGTATAAATGGAACTTTGGTATGAGATGATAATAACTTGACTACCTAGTCATTTGGACTCAATTATAGTCCATTTTACATAATTTCATCGTCCTTCAATTTATCATTAATTGGTTACCAGAACTATATCACTTAAAAATTTTGTTGCACAAATATTGATCAGATTACTTTCACAAGGTTTTACCCATAAATTTGATATACGCATATTGCAATATACAGCACTTGATCAGCTCATTGAAATTAAACACAATCAATCACATCAAATTGGAGTAGAAAGATCAAAACTGATTTATCTCTAATATACAACACAGCCATGACATACATTTATAGTAAGAGAGAGAAATAAAGGAGAAAGAATATTAATTTCGATCCTTCATATGAAGAAATTGGTAATATAAGTGAACAAAATGGCATAAATGAAAACAGTGAAATCGCACAGTTGCTACATTTAGCAAACTTGATACAAAAGCCACACAGCAAAATTTACTGCGTAAACTACAGTAGTTAAAGTTTGTTCGTAGAGAAAAATAATAATTGGATTTAGTGATCAGAAGAGAACAAAAAGAATGAAAAAGAAAGAACAAATTTTTACCATTCAGCACACACATACATTTTCATCATCATTATTAGTACCCAAGTTTGGAAAGTGAGAGAGGAGAACAAAAATGAAGGGAGCAAAATCAAGGTTCAAAAAAAATGTATGAATATAATATATGAAGAAGATGGATATTTTTTATATATCAATAGCTAACCTTTTAAAAGAGCAGCTATATATCTCTGCAACTTTTTTTTCTCTGCCAAAACCTGCATGGGCTTTGCCATTTTGTCCAACCAAGTAGAGACAGCAATCAGCACCTATACCAATATATGAAACAAATTATATATCTATTTTAAAGAAAAAGGAATAATTGTTAATTGTTAATTGTTAATTGATGAAGCTCTCATTAATTTATTCTATGCTCTATGGACAGAGCATAAAATTAAAGGCATCCTTCCCCTTAACTTAAACTTACATTTCCGTTAACAGCAAAGCCTCTCTGAAACTCTTGTCCACGAGGTCTAATCCAAAAGGCCCTACAAAGGACAAAAACATGGCGTTTGTACATAATATATTGTATAATCATTCGTTATCCCCACAGCTAAAATTGATCACAAACGATGCAGATAAAGATAGTTCAACGATTAAGGCATATCAGAACCAGGTAGAGTAGTCGGAAATCCCAACATTCTACCTATTAATTTTTTTAGTTTGATATGAATAAGGAACCATGAAAGGTAAAGAAAGAAAGGAAAAAAAGACTGAAAATTGAATAGCTATGCTCACTGTTTTGATCCTCTCTCTATTGTTGTCCAAATGTTTCTGGAGAAGTGATTGAGTTTGTCAGGTACCAAAATCAAAGGACGACGACATCGACGACTTCCCTTTTCCGAAAAAGTCAGTAGTCGGGATGATGTCGTTGTTGTTCGGCGTCGGCATTGGCAATGACATCGACATTGGCATTCCATTGTAAAGACGGAATTCGGACGACGACGTTGTTACGTCGCATTCATCCGAGTGTTCCTCCGACACGGCGCATTCCATGTTCACCCCAAACAGCCTCAATGTCTTGGCTGCAGCCCTCCCATTTCCATGACCCGCCACCGGCACCGACTCCAACACGGCCTCCTGCGGCGGTGCCCCACCGCCAGCCGCGGCGGATCTGAGGTGGTAAACAACCGGAGACCCCAAACCAGCGCCATAGATGATGGGA